TTTAAAATACAATTAGAAACTTGGCAACATTAAAATAAAAAAAAATGAAAATGCAATTAGAAACTTGGCAACTTGGCATTGAGGGCGGGGTCAGCCGTACAATTTTAAATTTACCGGTATTTATAGTGCGTGAGTCGCAGAACATATGGCGCGAGCAATGCTTACTGGGTAGAATCCTTCTACGCAGGCGCACTGAGCATGCGCCTGACACTTTAGTAAATAAGAGGGCATCTCTCTTTTACTTTACATTTAATGTTAATAGGTATCTACGTAAATAGGTACCTATACATTTACAATAAAATTTAATATACCTTTGGTTTGGGAGTTGCAGTGTTAAGTTCTTATAAGAACTATAGGTACCTAACTATAGTTCTAATTTAATTATTGAATTTGTGTTAATAAAACGGAAAAATGGACTCGTGGCTCATTAAAAAACAGGTAAGTGTTTTTTGTAATTTTTTACTTTTCACAATTCTTTCAGAATTTTTTTTATACCTATAACTAATAAGTATATTTAATTTTATTTTTAAAAGTACCTACATTTAATTTTACTTAAAAAAATACAAAACTGTTATACATTTGCAATTTCTTAGGTCAAGTCAGGGGAGTCCCCTGAGGGGACATAATAATATTATTATATGAGCAGTTGAAAGCCACTCTAGTGTAATAGCCACTTAATACCTACTTAAATAGCTACTTGATAATTATTTAAATATTATTTTTAATTGTTTTTTAGATTTTGCCAAGCAGTGAGGACAACAGCTCAGTCTCAAGACCATCGACATCGGAACCTCAGAATAGCCAGTCAGAGCTAGAAAGCAGCGACTTTGAGATAAGTAACGAAGATGATAATAATGAACCAGAGAAGAAAAGAAAGAAAGTTTTGAAGAAGACCATCGTCAGGAACAAAACAACGTACAAATTTTCCAGTAAGTGGCTGTGCGATCCAATTTTTAAAGATTGGTTAAAAAAAAAAGACGATTCTGAAATGGCCTTTTGCAAACTTTGCAAAAAGGAAGTGTTCTGTCATAGGGGATCATTAATTAGACATTCAAAAAGTGAAAAACATATTTTTAACTTTCAGCAGGTTGTTAGTAACAAAAGAATTGAAGATTTCTCGACAAAATCTACTACAACAAAAATTAAAAATGCTGAAATGAAGTTATGTGGTCTATTGGCAACAAATAATTTAAGTTTTTGCTTAATGGACTCCTTATCTGAGCTTCTCAAAGATATTTTCCCAGACTCTCAAATTGCTCTGGGGCTCAATCTCCACCGAACAAAAGCTACGGCAGTTGTTACTGAAAGTCTGGGAAAACATTTTTTTGAGGAGCTCAATGAAAAGCTCCGGCGACCTGGTTGTTTTTTTTCCTTAATTTTAGATGAAACCACGGACATTTCAACAAAAAAACAATGCGCTCTCACTGTTATTTATTTTAATATTGAAAAGAACAAAGTCGTTACTCAATTTTTTGACTTGATAGAGTCCGAGGGTAGCACCGCAATTGATTTATTCGAATTATTGATTTTAACGTTAAAAAATAAAAATTTGCCCCTAACAAATCTTGTTGGATTTTCATCGGACACGACGAACGTAATGGCAGGGACACTCCATTCAGTTTTTACTTTATTAAAAGAAAATATTCCCCATATAATTTGCATAAAATGTTCCTGCCATATGGCCCATTTGGCCACCTCTAAAGCCTGTTTAAAACTGCCCAAATCAGTGGAAGACTTGCTAAGGAATATTGGCAGTCATTTTCACCGTAGCTCTCAAAGAACTAAACGATTTGAAGAATTTCAAACATTTTTCGAAGTGAAAATCCATAAAATATTGTCACCGGCTGTTACAAGATGGCTGTCTATTAAAAATTGTGTTGATCGGGTTTTGGAGCAGTACGAGCCTCTAAAAGGGTATTTTAGGGAGTTGGTGTTTGAAGATCCTTCTCATACGACTCAAATAATGATTGAAACCTTAGAAAATAAATTTACAAAGGCATATTTGGAGTTTATGAGTTATACCCTAGGACTCATGACTGATTTTAACATTCTTTTTCAATCTGAAAAACCTCTCCTTTACAAAGTGAAACCTGAAACAGAAAAACTTTTAAAAACTTTATGTAGTAACTATATGGAAATAAACATTATAAGAAAATGTACAAATATTTTTCAGTTAAATCATTTAAACCCAAAATATTTTGCTCCTTTGGATAAAATTTACTTGGGTTTAGAAGCAACCGAAACAATACTCTATATATCGGAAAGCTCCACGACCAAAAAAGATGTGGACAATTTTCTTAAAACAATTTTAGAGTTTTACCTTGAACTAGTTGGTCAAATTAAAGAAAGGTTCACTTTTGAAGATGAGGTTTTTCGTTACGTGGAAATTGTTAATCCACTTGTTGCTCAATCTTTTCAAGAGAAAAGTTTACAAAAAATAATTACCAGATTTCCTGTTTTGAAAAATCACATAACAAATTCACAATCTTTAGACAACGAGTGGCGACAACACGCACTTTTAGATTTTGAGAAACTTCAAATACCAGTGGATGATCCTGAAATATATTGGACAGAAATTTTCAAATTAAAAAATCCTGCTGGTATAGAAGTTTTTCAAAATTTAAAAGTAATAATGTCATTATTTCTGGTTCTGCCATTTTCCAATGCTAGTGTCGAACGGGTTTTTAGTGATCTTTTTAATATCAAAACGGATAAGAGAAATTTATTAAACACAGAGACTATTAGAGCTTTAGTTGCTACCAAAGAAGGTATAAAGCAACAAGGAGGTTGTATAAAATTTAAACCAAGCAAAGAAATGCTAAATGCATGTATTTGGAAACAAAAATAAATAATTACCTACTTACATACCTAATAAAAAATGTATTACCTACCTATTTTTTTTTCTTTTAGGTACAAAAATTTTGTTTATATAATATATATTATATTTGCCAAATATTTAAATGTAAAAACTTTTATAAGAAAAGTTTTTAGTTTTGTACAGTTTGAGATTTTATTATTATACTTAAGTTCCTATTTCATGAGTTTTTTTCTCGTATTTGTTAAGGACCTGCTCATTATAATGGTATAATCATATACTACTCTATCACCGGTATTCATATATATACTATATATATACTATATAGTCGTTTCTGGCGAGGCGCCAGCGTATCGTATATATACATACATAGGTTTGAAATATATTTCTTATATTTACTATTTACTTATACCTATACCTATATATAGGAGGATAGTACATATACATATGTACTATCCTCCACACCAAAAACTCCCACTCTGAAATTTAAATGAGAAAAGCAGTCTTAAGCCTGATTTATAGATTGCCTTTCTTCCTTCCTCCCGTAAAAGATACGAAAATCGTAGTGCCATTTATAGATTCCCGTAAGGGAAAGGGAGGAAGAAAGGAAGGCAATCTTTAAATCAATCTTAAATTTGAGATGCAATAATATTTTAATGAAAATGCTTAAAAATAAAAAAAAATAGTACACATAAACAAAAAAAAATGCGTGCAAAACTTGTGCATTTTATTCCTGGGACCGTGCAAAACCGTGCGTTTTGGAGCACTTCACTGTGCAATCTAACAAATGTTCATTGGCAACACTGACACGTAGACCCTAGTTATAAGATCGCGGCCGAGCAACCACGACGCGGGTTGCTTTTTGAGGCTAGCCTCGTAACGAGGCCCTCGTTTCGGAATGATTTAAGAGCAACCTTCTTTAACCTTCTTTATCTCTGGCGGTCATACGATCGCAGCCTGCAGGCAACCATGACGGTGGTTGCTATCCTTAGGATGGTAATTGCATGGTTAACCATAAAGTACTAGTACTCCATGATAGCAATATTAAGATCAAATTCTCAATGGATAGCAATATTATAATTATAATTGTTCTTGTTTTGATTTGCAAAGAAATATTTATTTCTCTTTTCTAAGGAGGGTTAATAAAAATTTTACCGTTTGGACGAAATTATTTATTTATCCTGATAAATAATGTTATAATCAGCGGCGTAACTAGAAAAAGTGCCGCCCGGGGCAGCAGTGGCTGTCGCCCTCATGTTTTTTTTGGGGGGGGGAAGAGAGGTTAGGTTAGGAGTCAGTTTTGAGGACCGTACGCAAAATTAAAAATATATAATTATATATATAACATATATATATATATATATATAACATTAAATTGTAATATTTTAAGAATTAAAAACAAACAAAAATTCTTGGACCTAGGTAAAAAAAAACAACAAATAAAATGTGCTTTAACATAATTTATTTATATGAAAAAAACAAAGAGATAAATTCTCAACCTTATGTAAAAGTACCTACAAAAAAACTTAAACCTGAGTAAAAAATAAATAAAAATGTTTAAATATTTAGAATACCGGTCTTGTTTCTACTTTTTGCTAGCTTTATTTGATTTGGAATATTTTGGGAGTAATTGTATAAATCTCAAATCTATTGGAATTTGAATTATATTATTTCAAAAGAGAATATTTAATTATCAAATATTTTTTTTATTTTTATATATAGAATATATTCTGTCTTCCAGTTTTTTTCGCATTTTCTCACACGATTTTTGCCGCCCCAAGAAGTGCCGCCCGGGGCGGACCGCCCCCCCCGCCCCCCCCCCCGCCCCCCCCCCCCCGCCCCGCCAGTTACGCTACTGCTAATAATTTCAAGTAAATTAGCCAAGATCCTTGGTTATTTTGTAAACTAGCCGCTAATTTAGTTGAAAATACATTTTCAATTAAAATAGCTGACTGTTTGGCTAGTTTATAAACTATCCAGCTAGTTTATAAACTATCCAAGTTTGCACATTAGCCGTATATATATATATATATACATACTATATTATCTTTTGCTTTTTTTAGTGTCCCCCGTATATAAACGTGAAATTGGCAAGTTATGGCTGTCAGCGTCGAATGCCTACATTCACGTCATAGGTATTTGACATTTACTTTTATTTACTTTTCCGAAGTGTGCATTCGTGTTTATTTTAAATAAATGAATATTCAAGAAGAACATGTTAGATAAAAATTAGAAAAATATGAATGCAGAAATCGAGGAATGTGTACGAAATAACACGACATGGGGACAATTACCTGCACACGTTAAACAGGTGAATTACATATTGAAGTAATTTATCAAGATTATCTTTAACATTTTCCTTTTTAGATTTTAAACAATTCTTCAAAGGCATACGAAAGATATATCGTATCTTTTAGCATTAAGAATCAACTTAGGTATAGGGGAAATTTAGGTAAATTATAAATTTTAACACATTTATTTGAAATCCTAGTAATGTGTTATCTTTTAGTTCGAAATATATTAAGGGATGAAAAACGTTATTATGAACGAGTTGTTAGCTACAGCCGAGAGAAACTTATGTTATTTCCATATCACCTAGCAGATATGGTGGTTAAAGGTCTACGAATAACACCATTTAATTATTACATTTCAGTGGTGGAAAAGCTTATGCAAGCTGAAAAAAGCTATGACACTCTACCAAATTTTACTGCAGCTGACTGTAAGTAATAAATGTTGTGCTTTGGGTTACTAATTAATTAAATTAGGTTTACGGTTGCTGGGAATAGGTAGAAATGAATACATAGAGCTTATGAATAGATGTAGGTCAAACAGAGGAAGGCTGTTTGGCAAAAAAAATGTTAAAGGCTTATTACCTAAAGTTCCCTGCGAAATTCACATTGAACCCTGGTGGAGAGTGGAGGTGGGCTTAGTTTTGGAGGAGGATGTCAAGGTAATAAATCAATTCATCCCAATTTATAGTATTTAAATATTTGTGATTATAGATGCTGAATGAAGAAGAGATTGCTGTCATTGATAAGCTTATAGATTTAGGTTCTGTAAATGCTGGAGAATTAAATTATGATATAGTTTTGTCATTGTACAAGTAAGATCATACTTATACAATTGATAATTATTTGGTAAATAATTATGCATTTTATTTATAGGAAGGGCCTAATATACTTAGACGTTCCCATAACTGCAGTTGATAGAGTACAAGTTCCTCCCCTACAAGGGTTTGTAATGAATAGGATTTTAGGAGACTATTTTGAGACTTTGTTGTATAAAATTTTTGTTTCCATTGATGAACACACCACTGTTGGAGAGGTATACATTAAAATGTATAATACCAATTACCATTAAAATCAATATTTTAGTTATCTGCAGTTTTACAAGTAGAAACTGAGTTGGTAAAACAAGCAGTTTCTTTATACTGTAGGCTGCAATTTGCCAAAAAAATTGATCCTGAAACTGAGCAGGACATTCTTAAAAAACACCTATCTTGGAATAGTTTGCCCATTTCTGGTTCCAGGTAAGCATTTTATTAAATTATTTATTTCACAATAAAATAGATCCATACAGGTTAAATTTTGTTTTCTCCTTTAGGTAGCATTTTAAATTAAATACAATATTTTAATTAATTTTCTATAATTCAATAATAAAAAAGGTAAACATTGATGTTCTAAAATGAAGGGTTACATTGTATTAGTATAATTTTAAGGAAACCTGTATGCATGCTGTAGTGTTCCAAATAAATGAATTACAACTTTTATTATTTACTAAGGAATATAAAAAGTGATCTATGTAAAATTTAAGAAGGGTACATTTTTTAATTATTGATTTAAACAATTTATTTAAACTAATTGATTTTGTTTGAAACCCTTTATTTCAAAAATGAAGCAAATTTCTACTATATCTTATTTGACACTAACTTTAATTTTTAATAATTAGTTTAAACTATTTACTGATAAAATTCTGATTTGTTAATGTTATATTTAAAAAATATATAGTGCTTAGTAGTTTTAAGTTTTTATAAAAACTAAAGTTTTAAAATTGGTTTGGTTGTTATTTTAATTGAGACTATTTATTTATATGAAAGGATTAAATAAAAAGTTAAAATTTAAATTTAAATAAATGCCTAATAACTCTTTAAAACAAAAACTTGATAGAAATAAAAATTTTCATATTATAACACATGTAAGCCTATAGTATAGAAAGACTTTATATTTCTACACAGTTCAAAAGTAAAATTATTATACACCGCCGTGTAATCTGAAAAAATGTACATTAGCAAATATAGTTCCCAGTCCTTTTTAAATGTCACTGCCCCTAAAGTATAGTTCCTAGACCCACCCTGCCACTTAAAATGTTACTCTATAAGGAATAGTCACTTTGAAGTATATTTCGAGAGTGACTGGTTAGTGCCTACCTACCATAAAAGTGGAAAATAAACACACCGATTGCAAGTGGCAAACATGTAATTTAAAGAAGTGGCTGGAACTACCTGAATCTTCGAATATGACACCATAAAAGACCAAAAACTTTATAGTAACTTTTTAAAGTAGCGGTCACCAACAAGTGCTACCATAATGCCTCCATTTAGTTTTTGTTACTTTATAGTAACAATTTAAGTTACGGGGTAGTCGCGGCCACGACACCTGGTTACCTCTAATTTATAGTAGCATTGAAAGTAACAAAATGGTTACTGCGACCTTCCTAGGTCACTATAAAGTAGCCGTCGCTTATCCTTTGCCACTAAAAAGTCGCGGGGATCAAAAATGGCTACTTAATAGTGACCATAACTTAATATACCCTAATAAATGTAATTGCCTCAGATTGCATATATGCATATATGTTACGCACTATAGTGTGCTGCTCTGTTTTGGTGTTTTCTTTTCTTGCTTTTAAGCTTTATTAAAATTCTGTAAAATGCTTAAGGTAAATAAAAAGAAATTTAGATATTCTAGTACTTTCTATCAAAGAATTAAACAAAAGGAATCACTGGGAGCCGAAGCATCAACATCAGAAACAAAAACTACATCTTTCTATAATCGTACTGATGAACATCATAAATCAGGTAGTGACATTTTTAAGCTGTTTGATTCAAACAGTTTGAAGTACCTATTCACATTCAAAGTTGATGCATGTTCTGACTTCTATACCTGAGTCAAGTGTTCAAATCTCGTTCTGATCGAGGTGCTGATGAATATTATTAATTCTATCTTACGTGAACGTTTTCACCTTAATAGTCTTTAAATATTTTGTAATGAATAGGAATTTAATATAAGAAATTCAAGGTGCTAAATATTTTTAATGGGTCAAGTTTATCAATACTTTCCTGAAGTATTTGCAGTCAAAGTTGATGTATGTTCTGATTTCTACACCTGAGTCAAGCGTTCAAATCTTGGGCTGATGAATGTTATTCATTCTGCCTTACTTGTAGGTATTTGGGCTATGTAAAAATGAATATTGTATGCTCTCTACTTAAGTCGTGGATTCGAAGATTAAGTGGAAGAGAACGTTTCAAGATTTAAGAGAGTAATTAATAAACCTAGAAAAAACGACACGAGACAGAAGTGACGTCATAAACGGTGTGGGTCCTGTTTTTTTATAATAATTAATTTTTTTGAAAATAAATGAATAATTGTCATGTGATCATAAGAATTGCAATAACCAGTAAAACATTAGGTTTGATAATATTCAATTTGCATTTTACAAAAAATATGATTCTCGCGTCGCCAAACGGGAACTTCAAAGGACAAGGCGGAACGTTATAGTGGCACGCCGCGATCGGTGTAGCATAAACGCTGCAATTAAGTGGCAATTTAGTGGCGCAGGGAACTTTCTTGGAAAAAATCACTTTATGTTCCAAAGAATCGTGGACCATGTAGTTCCCAAAAAGTTATTGTTTCCATAAAGTCGTCTCTGGGTAGTTGCAATTGTCACTTTATCAATCCGAAGATTTTAAAGTTCCAAACGGGTAGGGTTGGCCTAATATATTATTGTTCCCGGTACTTTGTGGAAGCATATGGAACTATAAAGTATTTTTCGGATTAAACGGCCATATTTTTTTCATGACTTTTCAGACGAACAGCCAAATGGCTCAAACATTTTGCGTTTTTAAGCTAAATATACCTAAACTAAAGATTTTTTCCTTAGATATTTTGTTATTTGTGACGGTGGACTAATATTTTAAAGTTTCACGCCAGTTTTAAGCAAATTAATTTTTTTTTTAATTACTACATGAGTTTCTATTGCAAATAATTTAATAATTTGAAATGTTTTGAAAGGCGCTCGAAAATTTTGTCATATAAACCCACTATTTTATTCAGTAAAGTCGATTGCGTTTTGGAATTGACCCACAAAAGGCGTTAAAATCGCATGATAAATAACAAAAAAATAATAATGGCTTCCATAATTACTTTCCATCATGACATTTATTTTTATGAAGTGTGAAACTGAAGAGGTCGCTGCGAATAAAGTTTAACAGTTTAATGAAAGTTCTACATGTCGGTGGCAAAACACTAGGCTGCCACGAACCCGCGACTAGGCAGCTTCGTAACAGATAAGTCGCATTCAACGGTAGGCTACTTTATAGTGCCATATCGTAGTAACTCTTTTAGTGGCAAAAACTACCCAAGACACTACCGGGCTACTCAAAATCTTTCCCCATTTTGGTCGCAGTTACTTAGCAGCTACGAATATACAACGTAGCCGTCGATGGTCACCGCCCCCTTTGTAGTGGCTTTGATAGTGGCAGTTACGTATCTGCCACCATAAATGCTAGTTGGGAAACTTGATAAGGACAGATTTGAGGAGCAAACATGCAAAAACCGATAAATCCATTTTTGCATTTTAAGAATATAATACCAATTCTTACTAATTTTGGTAAACTCTTTTGACTTGGCACAGAATTTTAAGGAAAAACCGAAACAGAGACAACCCAACAGGAGCAAAATTCACTTTTAATAGTTTTTAAATATTTGGGGGACTTGGCTGTACACATTTTTGGCCAATACCTCAGAATGAGTTAAAATGGATTTATCGGCTTTTGCATGTTTGCTCCATAATTATTAAACAACTAAAAAATAGTATAAACAACACGACGGGGAAAGCCTATTAACTGCCTCGCTCAGATCTGCTGGCTAAGGCCTCGGCAGCGAACTCAGTGTTCGGCTTTAAATAAGCGCTTTCTCTGCCTGTTATATAATGTACTATAGTTGTTTTTAATGATTGGTTAATTGGATGACAAAAAAAATATTACTTTCAGAAATCGTTAAAATAATTTTGATTTAGTATTTTTTTAATTTAAATAAAGACAATTTTTCTTTTAAAAAATATTTGTTAGTCACTTTTTTGCTAACCATATAGTATTATACAGAGTGTTTCTTAATTGAGTGGTGATACTAAATGGGCTCAAAATCCTTAGACGATTTTAAGTAAAAAAGTTCATATCAACTTGAAGTTTAAAATTTTAAATAGTACATTACATATCGAGGATCGAAAGGCGGCGATTTCTAAAAAGTGTGAAGTTTGCTGCACAAGCGAATCAAGTGTAGCAACACACACTAGAAATCGCCGCCTTTTGCCCCGAGATATGTGCACTATTTTTCATGACAAGCGCAACGGAAATGGACTCTTTTTGCCTTTTAAAAGATCGTTCATATTTAGGCATTTTTATACATCCTTGAGCGGAGTAAAGTTAACAAAAATTCAGTCGTACCAACCTAAAGACAATTCATAGAAAATTCCAAAGGAAGACAAATGAAATTCAGCTGTAGATGCAAAAGTTGAGACGTGTGCTCTTCCTAGAAATCCGCCATTTTTGCATCGCTCCTAAAAACAATTCATAGAAAACCCCGAAGGGAGACTATTAAAATCAAAGACAATTAAAATCAGTTCTAAATGCGAAAGTTGAGACGTCTGTTCAAAAGGCACCAAAAGTCTAATTTTCGCTGCGCGTGTAATGAAAAAAATGAGTTTTCTTAACATCTTTTTAACTTTTTTTTTTAAATTAAGTATTACTTTAAATTTGCGAATTATCTACATAGTAAAATGGTCTCCTAACTGTTATCTTCCAACAAACATTTTTCGAATAAAAACCTAAAAGACATTTATTTGCATGTTGCTGTGGGGTTAAAACTTAAATAAAGGAGGATAAAAAAATCGCTACTCGAAAAGTTTTTGAGGTATCCGGTCCATTTTTGGGTCGAATTACGGTCCCAAAGCAAATTTTCTCCAAATTTGGTCAAAAATACCCACAGGTTCTCTTGGGATCGATTTCCGGTAAATGATATTTTTAAAAATTTGAACACCCTATTTCTTTCTAAGTTAATGTAAACTTTTTTCCAAGGGTTAAGCCCATTCAGTATCAGCATCCAATTAAGAAACATCCTGTAGGTATTTATTAATGCATTAGAATAAATTACGTTTAATTTAAGACTTTAAATTTTATTAATTGTAATATTTCTCCAACATTGATAGTAGACAATAAGATGTACTTTTATTATAAAATAGTTGTAAAATTTATAATTTTACTTTTTGGTATTTTTCAAGAAATAGTATGGACATTACTCCCTTAACATTAAACCTGGACCCAAATGAAGTCCAAAAAAAGCAAGACTTGCAATCACCACAATCAGAACTACCAGATAGTCCAGCAAGTTCAACGTTAACAAGAAAAGGACAAAGAATTGCATTTTTATTTGATTCAACTCTGACAGGTTCCAAACCCAAAAAATATATCAACCCCTTCATTACCAAACATATTTTTTAGCATTTCTAATGATGGGTAATTTATCACCAGGTCTAAAAAAACACGCGGTCACAATGTTTGAAGTGGGCAAACTGTGCGATGAAAGTCTGGATAGTTTTTTGGCGGAACTTGAAAAAGTGTCAGTTTTGGATGCTGAAGGTGAAGGAGAGGCTAGAAGATTTTTCGACCATGCTGTCATCCTGAGATCCACGGTATTAGCATTAAGAAAACTGCCAAGTCCTGGACTTGACCTGGTGAGGCTGGAAAGTTTGCATTCCTTGGATGAGGCTACATGCTTAAGACTGCTACAAAAGAAATATAAGTAAGGAGAGTTTATTATGTTTTAATTTGGCTTATTATGCCTCAAATTACGTTTTATTTGTCATGCCTTGCCCCTCAAATAATCTATTTAATTTTTTATTTTAAAATTGAAAATTAAATAGGAGCCTGCGTGAAAATAATTTTAAGGGTAGATTTTTACTTTTTGAGAGTTTTTAAGGTAGTTGTCCTGGTACAATATTGTCAAAAAATTTTAGATTGTAAGCACCGTAAAAGTATACGAGCTTGTAGCTAAGTGATTCATAATTTTTTCGCAAGACTGTACCCTTGGAGACGTTACCTATACCTAATACTTTCACATATTTTCATAAGTTTTAATCAGGCAACGTCGCTTATGCACAACGAATGGATATATTGGAGACTGAATCAGTCTGTTTGAATTTACTGCGCGAATAATATCTATACTCGCGTACAGCGTTGCCAAGTTGTTTTTATCTGACTCAATAGTATGTAAACTTTTTTACAAATTGTTGAACTTTATACGGTTATTTATAAACATTTGGACGGTCAAAAATTTTTTATTATTTTCTTTAAACTCAGCAAAAATACATTCTGGTACAGAACTACAGAAAGCGTATACAATATGGTGGTCGCTAAAAATTAAATTTTTTGCGACGCCCCCTAAAAAGCTTCGTTTTGATAAAAAAAACACTGGGAATTTTTTTTATTTTTTTTTAATTAAAAACAACATTGCCTCAAGACGATCTAAGTTAATTTTTTGGTATAATCATGTCTTTTCTGAAAATATGGACAAATAATTTTTTTGAGATTTAAAAATTATTAACAATGAAATAACTTCACCTTGGAGTGAAGAAATCTAGATATTAAAATTACGTTTGTACTAGGTAATTTAGTTTTAAAATAAAAATATCAATTTGAATATCTTTCATTTTTTTATTTAATAGGCCAAATCAACTGGAAAAAATTTTGAATTAAAATTTTTGTCTATTGTTATTTCGATTAACTATTGTTTTTTTATTGATTTGAGTTCTACAATTGTTTATATCTCGAATAAAATTTACAGCACGACAAGCTACCTTAATAACCTACTACAGCCATAGTAATTGTGAGCGTAAAAATTACCAAATATTCCGGACGAAATTTAATTTGAGCGGCAATTCTGTCCCACCGGAGTTAGTTTTTAGCCCGCTCACGCTAGTGATGTAAATATTCGTATCTTTTTGATATTCGGATAATACGTATTCGGAACCAAGAGATATTCGGATTCACTGTCCGGATACGTATCTATGATCTATAAGTTAAATCATAAAATGCGCAACGCTGCAAGCGGGTGGCACGGCGTAAGGAATGCAGAGAGGAGTGGGGTTTGTTCTGTGGTGTGGAGTGTCTGGTACTTTTTAACAAAACAAAGAGTTTAAGTTTAAGTTGATTTTTTTTAATTACTATGGTAAAGAATGTTATCCTTGTTTTATTTTTTATATTTTAAAGTTATGCCTTGATTGTCTGGTAATTTTAAATAATTAAAAACAATATTTTTATACATCATGTCTTTATTTTTAAAATAAGCATCGTACGCCAATGGTATCGTAACTTACGATTCGTAAGTAGCGGACTCAGACCAAGCGCGATTCCGAATGCGCCGGTTGAAACCATCCGCACTCGGCTTTTCATAGCGCATTTGCTTCGCGCATTCAAAATTTGTTTCGGTAAATTTTGATTCCGAATCCGTATTCGAATTTACAGATTGATTCCGGAATATCCGGATCCTTTAAATATTCGGATTCAACGGATATTTGGATACGTATTCTTACATCACTAGCTCACGCCTCTGTTGGCCTTGTGTCGCTTATATGTGACAGTAATTTTATCTGTCGTATATGCGCGACATTCGGCCGCGCAATCAGCGTTCTTATTAACGACAGTCTGTCGCATATAACCGACTCACGGCTTCACGAGGTACAATCGTGCGGCGAAAGGTTGCCACAGGGCTCCTAAAGGTACTCTAAAAACTTTCATGTCGCAAATTAACGACACTAGATCACTGTTCAAGTTAAGCCACTGTCGCGTATAAGCGACGTTCGGCGGTGCGCACAAAATAATTTCCGTCGCGTGCGTCGACATTCGCCCGGAAAGGGTTAATATATAGAAATAAATTATTTACACCCAGTTACATAACCTAAAATTTATTATTTATTTCCATTTGTCTGGAAACTCAATTATTGATTAGGGCTTGCAGCACAAAGTATTTTTGTATTGTTGTTTTTTAGCTATTCTAAGATTTAATTTTGCTTTTGTATAAATCTGGTAACGTTGCATAGTACAAACAAACGCCACTGGCCATTTGGCTGTTTCCGGAGCTTGGGTTGCTAGATGTTGGCTGCCATGTTTACATCGCTACTTCAAGTCATGATACAAGGAAACATGGTATGCCACTATTTAAACCTAATTTCGTCTGTCACTTTGGAACCTGTTTTTTGACAGCTGTCATTCAGGCACTTGTCATTTTGACAGTTGCCATTTTGAACAACGTCTTTTTTTGTTTTTCTCTTAATTTTAATATTCAAATAGCCATTTCTCGTAAACTGACAGATTTAAAAAAAACAGAATTTTATTAAGAATTAAAAGACCTTTAAAACGATATGTCACTCCAAATTTAGATTTTGGGGGCGGGCGGGGTGGAGCGCGAAAGGTTGCGGGTGGGGGCGTGAAGCCTACGTTAAAATTCGTCTCCCTAAAAATAAGGAATTTTGTCCAAATTCACCCGTTAAAACGTTTAGGGGGGTACAAGTTTTCGTTGGAACACCCTGTATAGTATATTTTTTAAATGTTTGGCAAAAAAATTGTTGAAACTAAATTAAACATTGCAAGAAACTTTATTCTTTTAAAATCCGGCCATAAATACAAGCCTAAATAAAAATATTTATTTAAAAAACTGTTCTACAACCTCTATTACGTTGTCAATTTTAAATAAAAGCACCCTGTGTTTAACTTTTACTTATATTATTTTATCCATATCCATATCCATAACAAAAAACAATAGGTAAGTAATTATTTTATTTGCGCTGCATATATGCATATATATATAGTTTAAAAAATACATTGTCACAATGACAAAATAGAAATACTTGGAAATACTACCTCAAAACAATTTTCTCTTGCAATCGGTTTTAATAAATCGGTCGTCATAATTGTAAATTTAAGAGGCAGCGCTACCATGCGCAATGACATACCATGTTTCATTGTACCAGGCTTCAAGTCATGTAAAATTTTTAATCTTAAATAACTCAAGAGCCATTTGTGGGAATATTTTCTTGCAAATAACAAAAAATAAACATACCAAAGATTTGGGTCTAAAAAACAAATACCGTAAAACGGGGCTACTTGATAAAATTTGACACCGTCTGGGTAAAACCTTACAGTTTTTTTTTAAACCAAAATTACTTTGTTTAACTTTAGAGTTTGGGGAAGCTCTTCACACATTAAAAAAAATGTTTGCTCCCGCCACTTTTCGAAAAAAATATATAAAGTAGTTATTTTCAAGTAGCCGTTAATTTTCATGTAAGGCCAATACAGGGGCTTCATGAAAAAAAATTAAAAAAAAATGCAGTACTATGTCCTGGCTTCTGTGTTTGTAGGATTTTTATTTTTATATACAACGTTGTTACGTACGTAACATACGGTATATTGTACTCTTCACTTAACTGCATTAAATTACCCGGTTCGTACCTTGACACAGCATTATCCAAAGCCTCTTGACTATAATTTCGATATGGCCTGCTTCCCAACTTTCTTTGATAATTTCGCACCATTTTCACGTAGCCCCAAAAATGATATCAAAAAATAAAATTGGCGGCACTGGCTTAGGGATGATTGATAGGTCGGATTTAAGGTTAATTTTGTATCAAGCATATAAAATAGCATTAGAAAAAAAATACCCCGACTTACTGATAGTTATCAAGGTACTTAAACAATAAGAAGTATTGAGGCAATAAGAAACCATGTTTTTTTACCTTGTTTTTGCCGACTTCTCCTCGCGAAACTAAATTCCCAAATAATACATACGCCATATAAATAAATTCTTGGTGGTCTACTATACTGACTGAAAATAAATTATACTTCTAGAATAACCCTTTAGGAGGTAGCACCTACTTATGCAAAAGTCTGCGTTTATTTTCAACTAACCCCGGTATTTTCAATAGACCCGTTTTACGGTATATTTTTGCACAATATTAAAAAAAATGTTAAAACAGATTTTTTTAAATATCTAAGGTTTTCCTTTTAAATTTTATCATGTTTTTGCAATAAATCAGTTTAGGGAACGTACCCATACTACATGGCCTATTTTTTAAGATTTTTTGACCCCTCCCTCCCCTCGGTAACCACGCGTAGTATATGCCAAGACCCCTTCCCCCCCTACAAGTTTTTACGTAGTATTGGCAAGAATGATTTTTAATCATTTTGTAAGGAGAAAGTGTAGCAAATGAAAATAATTTGACTCATACTTAAAAGCGCGACGTTTCTCTCGGCGAAATCGACTACGTGACAAAAATCTAAGCCACCCCCCCACACTCCTGTGACTGATCGCAGTATTTTTAAGACCTCCCACCCCCCCTGAATGGGTTACGTAGTATGGGTACGTTCCCTTATTTAGTTTTTTAGCAATAAAATATACTTAAAAATGTTTAGGTATTAATAGTATTATATTTATTATACGACCATAAAAAACTATTTAAGAGCAGTGTTTTTCAGCTAAACTAATATTAAGGGAAATTACCACTTTTAAGCAGTATACCATAAAATATTGTAAAATAAAGTTATTACACAATAATGCGGTTGGGACATAATGTCAAAAATCAATGTGAAACCACTTCTATTATAGAGATTAGTCACTATAAACAACCAACCCAATTTTGCTATCATTTTTTCCTTAAAAATTACTTTAAAATCGATCATTTCTCACCTCTATGTAGTTTTCTCGATTTCCAAACGATTTAAATACTTTAAACAGATGTTGAATTCATTCTTAATTCTTGACAAATATGTGACGTCACGATCTCTCTTCAAGGTGATCGAAGCGTTTTGAATCTTGTGGTTTTGAAAACCCTGTAGCGTTCTCAAAATTGTATAAGAAACTTAGGAAAATTTTTAATAGCAATCTCGTATGCGTACATTCCAAATATGCAATAAAAAAATTACATGTCCCAACCCCATTGTGTCTAATACTTTTAATCTTACATTATAATAATACTTTGTTTTGTACTAGATAACATTAAATATACTAAAACCGAATGGATGATATTATTTTTAATATTTTTCCTAGGCTTTTGGTATCCATGGCACCATTAAGTCGCGAAGTTCGCCCTATAACCAGCCTTTTACCCCCTCACTTGGGACCAGCAGTACCTGAAGTAAACACCTTGTGGTTCAAAATATTTTTATATCACCGAACTGGATACGGACCACCATCTCTTCTTCTAACAAAAGGTACCATCTTGAAGCAGCTCCCCCGTGTCTTCTTGGGATACTCCAGACTGCTAGTGACTACGTGGCTTCACGAGCCTGCCGTGATACCGATATCGAATGTTCTTTTCGTAAACGCAGCCTTGCAGTTTTCGCCCGTGCTGATCCAGGCTTACGGGGTGCACCAACCTGCGCAGACGTACATCGTACCGTTTCCGTTTACGCAGGGTACTCCTGGGAAAAACTCTTACGAAAGCCCGACGGATATTTTGTTTAGAAAACACCCAGCAGTTAAGTGTCTTCTGGATTTAGTTGATTTGGAACATAACTGCGGGTACATGACGTTTGTGAATATCGGGGTTTTGGATTTTGGATGTCCGAATAGAGAATCTGTCGTCAGATTAGGAAGAAATTATAGACCACCTAGTAAGTTAATTAAATATTTTTTCTTTTAAAATATCGTTTAACATCAATCTCACCTTTTGCAAAAATATAGTTAAATTTTAAACAAGACATATTCATTTTAGGAAAATTAAATAGAGAAAGTAAACTATGTCTAGTAAACTAATAGATAAGTTTGCGTTTACATAAACTTGTTTTAATCGGCAATTCCGAAAATGTATTATTAATAACAATGTTTGACAGCAATTTTGCAAAAATTACCATCAATTTGCTTCATTATCTCTTGTTTTCAAGATATTTAGAAAAATTACGGTTCTTTTGGACATGAAAGCATTAAAATTATATATAGTATATACACACGAAAAAAAAAATGTTGTGGAAAGTACTACAATTATTGTAGAATTTTCTGGTATAAATTGTTTAAAAAATACGACCAAGAACAATTTGTTAGAAATAATTTAACAATTTTGTAATAAAAATAAACAGATATAATTATATATTGTAGTTAAATTACTACAATTTCTGTTTTAAATTAATATTGTTATATATTTAAAAAATATATTGTATTGACTAATGCCATTCTTTATTAAAAATAATACAGATTTGCCGTGCTCCAAAATTGTGTACTTTAAATAAATTATATGTTGATATAAATGCTTTAAGTTTTAGTTAATTTCAAAACAATTGTATTAAATAATTAAAAAAATTTTTTACAATATGGTTGTTGTAAAGTTTAATTTAATTTTTTTTCCGTGCAGGGCCCTGCACACCCTATAGGGTGTCTTAGATTTTAATCGGGAAAATTTAGTTGTCGATAGAACTAGCAAAAATAAGTAAAAATGTTTATATTAACTTGTATGTTTTAGGCAGGAAGATCTCGGTCGATACCTTTTTGGATTTTCCAATAAATATATTTACTACTACTTGTATGTTTTAAAGAATGGTTTTCAAGATACATTATTTTTTCTTATTTTTGCGAGTTTAACAGACTATTAAAATTTCCCGATTAAAATCTAAGACACCCTGTATATTTTATTAATGAAATACTTTACACAATCATAAAGTTATTCCCCTAAAAAATCCTGTTTTTAACAAAATAAAATTGTTTTTTAGCCAAAATTGAATAATTTTCAATATTCAGTGCTGTTACATGAACAATTTTTCTCCGACTTTAATGAAGTTTTAAATTTTTAGCTTTATCTATCAACTTTATTGTGTTAACATTTCAACACAATCAATAAAAAATTGTTCAAATGGAACTTAAAACAACCGCTTGTTTAAAATTTATATTTTCGGTCATTTTTGCTCCTGGCGCTTAAGCGCATGTACTAATTTATATTAATATTAATCCTTAAAAAATTCTGTGAGCAGTAATCAATATGAATTTATACAAGTCCCAGACCTAGAAACAATAATAAATATAAATAAATATAAAAAACTTTTTTGCATTAGTAGCTGCTAAAATAAATATTAAAAAAATGACAAGCATGATTTTTTTTGAAGAAAAATTATAATTTTAATCATTTTTTTCCTTAAAATTATCCAAAGATTGAGCCCATTCAGTATCAGCAATTTTAAATGGCGTAATATTCATTCATATTCATTACGTAATATTGCGAAATAATTTAGAGATTCCATTCGTGAAAAAAAAACTTTACTGGTTTTAAATGCTTCCTTTTCTAGAGTATTGCATTTTTTTAAATAAAAAAGAATTAAAAAATATCTGATACCTATTTCATTTATGAAATATTCTAACAATTCAAAAACAATGTAAGTAACGTCGTAAAAAAATATTTTATATTACATATTTAAAAATACCTACATTATGAGCTTGTGTCTATTTTTCACTTGCTGCAGAAAAGTGAAGGATTTTTTTTTAAAAACAAAGCGAAATGCGAAAAACAGTAAAGAGGCAAAATAAATTTATTTTAATTGTTTTATCTGGAGCAAATATCAAAACAGCAGGAGAGCGACATATTTAAAAATAATAGCCAATTTTCCCCCTGGATACCACTGGAATGTATAACCAATAATCTAATTTACGGTGCTGTTCTAAAGCTTCGTACAGACCTGAACATTGAGCCGAACAACAAGCAGAACAACGAACCGAACGGCAAACAGAACGGCAAATGGCCTTTTTTTATTTCGACGATCCGAACAACAAACGGAACGTTCGTGCTGTTCCCATATTTGCTCGTAGTAAATCTCAGTTAAAGTTTTACTAAAGATGGAAAAAAGTGTAGCAGCAGCAGCTTATATATATATATATATATATATATATATATATATATATATTCATTATTAAATCAAAAGAAAAATTTTTTGATAAATATCAATTAGATCCAGAGATTTTTCTTCTGTCCACTCCATTTACTTGTGTTGAATTTTAATTATATTTAAATAAACAAACTCACTAAAAGGAGGAGACAAATAAACACTTAAATGAGAACAATTCACTGGTCTGTTCGCCGTTTTGTTTTGACCCGTCCAAACCTCCGAACGCATTCGCGAGCATTTCCTTTGATGTCGAAGGAAAAACCGACAAGTGATGGGAACGGGGCGAACCGTTCGCCGAACGGTCAGGATTCGCGAACATGTTCGTAAACGCGTTCGCAGCCCCGTCCAAATTAGTGTTCTGTTTGCCGTTCGGTTCGTTGTTCGGCTTGTTGTTCGGCTCAATGCTCAAGTCTGTACGAGGCTTAAGAGGTTATTTTCGAACTTAAAACCTTAAAACCATTTTTTTTATCGCTGTGACTAGAGGCACGTTAACGTGCCGCGATTTGAAATGTTAAAGGCACGTTAGTTACGTCATAAACTCAAACCACCCCAAACTCAACAACACAACCCAACCGACCCCGCTCGGTAAACAAAAACGGATTATAATTATGACGTAACTAACGTGTCTTTAATATTTTCAATAGCGGTACGTTAGCGTGCCTCTAGTCACTGTGTTTTTTTATATATCTTCGCCGTGGGAGTCAAGGACAAATTTGGACAAATAGAGCAAAGTACACAAAAGCATTTTAAAACTATTAAAAATGCCGTGGTCAATGAATTTTGGCCACCAAATGCTCTTATTTAAAGTATATTGTAGAGCACACATACACTAAAGCAGACAATGACAACAAGCCGCGTTTTTTGCACTTAAATAATTTATTAAACATCCCTTTTATAATATATTAGTATACTGCTATAATATACGGCTACAATGGAACAAAAAAAAATTATATTTGACATTTATCTACCAATGGAGTCCCTGTATATTTGTGACAAAAAACGTCAAAACTATACTGAACATCCAAAATAGATTTAAGGCAAAATAATTTAATAAATAATCAAAATATTAACGAAAAACTTACGTCTGGTTTGAGATGTTTTCTGGAGTCTGACTTGAGATATCTTTTGGAGTCTGAGCTGTAATGGTCACCAGTGTGGTCTATGATCAGACCGCACTGATGGTTGTTGTTCGGGCTTTGGGGGACGCCTCGGGTTAGACTTCCAAGCTAGGGTGTTTCAACAGGTATTGTCATTTTATTTTATTTTTCTTCTCTTTTCCGTCCTTGCATTATCAAACATGTAATGTACCTATCTATAGTATAGAAACTAGCTTAAGCTTTTAAAACATGACGAAATGTGAAATGAATATCTACTACTACTACTGTTATATTTTTATTTTTTATTGTTTGTACATTTTTGTTGTATTGTTGTGAGAGGATGAATCCGTATAGAGTGTTAACGTGCACTCTCTGGATTTTTCAAAATAAACGTATTTTCTTTCTTTCTTTCAATTGGGCAGAGCATTTTATTACGCAATTATTTCGAATCCTAGACGTCCTGGAGCAAAACGAGTGGCATTGTTTAAATCAGCAGCCCAAAATTGAGTAATATAGGTGGGCGTACTCAATGTTAGTAATTCGAACTATCATAGTGCAATTTTTTAAACTCTTTTAATTCATAACATGTGCTTCTCAAAAAATTTGAATGCATTATTCAAATCCATGCAAAAAGTTTTTTGAAAACTATTTAAATTTTGCCCAATATGTTTTGATAAGACATTATTAGGATAATCTCTGCCTATAATTTTATGATAAATTTCCAAAAACAAGTCGTTTCCAAATGTTATAATTGAACTAATTATTTTAGGCAGTAAAGTGCAGAAAGTAAAAACTGACAACAACAAACCCGAACCAACGTCGATATCAAACGAAAATTTCTCCTTGACAATCAGTAAAACCCCCTCCAACCCTGCCGAACCTTCGTCCGAAAAGAAAGATGAGGTTGAAAGACTCCTCCAAAGTCCCGACGAATCCCATTTTGCACTCACTCCCGTCACAAACAGTCAATCCTCCTCCCCGGCCAACGGGTTCACGTGTCAAGAATCCAATACATTGCTCCAAGAAGAGCTCGACCAGCTGGCGAAACAAGACGATGTTGAGACCAATTCCAGTGGTTCAGATTTCGTGATAACAAACTCGGCTTCGTTGGATTGCCTTATGAGCCCTACCGACGAAAATATCAGCATGTTTACCAGGGTTAACGAGGAAACCACGTCTGTTTCAGAGAGTGAATCGGAAGTTAAAGATAGTGAAGATGATAAGCCAGAGGTAAGACGTTTTTACTACTGACAATTATGAAGTGTACCTTTTTACTAACAACTTAATATTAATGCATTGTGTGTGTTTTTTAATACGTTAGGTTTGGACCTTACTAGATTGTCATTTTGGAGTGCCGCTGTTTGATGTTAATGCAAATACTAAAATATGTGATACTATTGTTTCTGGCGGTTTGGCAGAAGCAAGCAGGTAAACTAAATTTAATAATAATTTTAAGGGAACACTAAAAATATACTTTTTGACATGTTTTGCGACCTCTAGAGAAATATGTTAAAAATGGATTTTTGCAAAAACAATATTTTTTTATCAATTTTAGTATACAATAAAGTAAACCTTGTTTTAAATGTGTGCCAAATTTTAAATGACTACTATGCACAGCTGTCAAATTCTACCATATAAAAAATATCGGAATATTCATGGATCACATTTTACAAAAAAACAATTTTTTTCCAACACCAGATGAAAAATGGAAAATCAGACTAATTAAAAATTCTTCAGTTAGAATAACCTATTTCGTACTTCTGGACCTGTGCATTTTGAGCACCCTGTTTATTAAAAAGACATATTTTACTAGCAGCTCGTTTAACTATAGATTTCTTGACTGAAAAATGTTTTTTTAAACACCTATATTCAAAGTTGCTTCGTTTAGCCGCCATAGTTATTAGAAAAAATGTAATTTTATTTATTGCTGGACTCTGTATATCACAAAAATAACGACATTAATACTACTTAATATGGATTGACATTTTTTAGAGTTAAAAAAATCTATCAACTTCAAAGGCATCTAGGAGCTCAACAAAGCAACTAGATATAGGTTAAATATACTTATTTTGTCAATAAATCCATAGTATTTCATGGTATACATGCTACGGATAACGACTATAATCCGGCCAATGACGTTATTGGCCGATCAATGACGATATCACAACCACGTGAATGATTAGTAACAAATGTGACGCCCTCCGTAAATATTTAACTAACCAACCAACACACATACCTTTTAACAAAGAATTCGTGAAAATATGAAAAAAAGGAAAATATACATTCACATCATTGACCGTTAATATACAATATCATCTTTCTCCTAACATAATATGTAAGATAATATATAATATATATTGTTACCTTTCCAGTTTGGATCATTTAGTGGAATCAAGTCGAAAACTGGGGGGAATTTTATTGGACTTTATATCGCAATGTCAGGTAATAAAGATATTAAAGGAAAATATTTTTATACTTATAAATTCTATATTTTAGTACTATCCTGGTGAAAATATGGAAATAATGAAGAGAGGAAGACTGGTACCCCTACCAAAGCATAATCTTGTTTTTGATAATGGCAAGGTCGGTGAGTGGGCTGGCAAGTAGAAATTGTTCTACCAAATTAAAGCAATATAATGTTAATGTAATAATATTATTTGTTAAATCAACAAGGTTTTTATCGCGAGAAATGAAGCTGAAAAATAAAATTACATATTTATTTTTAGGTATATGTAAAATTGTTTTTATGTATTGGAGAGTTTAACTAAATCTATTCATTCCTTAATTGTTTGTTTCCTCCATATAATTAATTTAAGTTTAATTTTGTTTTAATATATTTAATGCATATAAAATCTACTTTTAAATTTACAATGTTAAAGCTTATTATATTGTTTTATAGTTATATAAAAACTTTTTATTAAAAGGTCAATTACTAATTGGCAGTCCAGGTAAGGGTTTCCCCTAATCCTGCCGGGATTTTTTTACCAGTGGTGCCTATTGCCTGGACCACATTAGGATTTTATGTTGTTAACTGATGGAATATTTGTTGTATTATTTTTAATTTTATACTTACCTCTAACTGTAAGTTGCATCACTTTGTTTTAAATATAATTACATAATTTATATTAATTATTGGATACTTAATAGTTTGTACAAATATTACAGTATTAATTATACATTCCAATAAATATATTTTTATTTTAAATGCTGTTTTATTAGTAAAAGGGTATTAAAAATCGTTTTTATATAAAATGAAGGTTTATTTTATTTAAAATGTATAGTACAAAGCTTTTTGAACTAATAAAACTAAAATGAAGGATGAACCAAAATGTCAAAGATGCTTGTAGACCTTCTGACATTTTGTCAAACAACTCCTAAATAATTCAAAACCATGGTCATATAGAATTAGTTATCTAATCAGTACTTTTTACAAAGGAAAAATCAGCTGATTATAATTGAGATTAAAAAATGATAAATAACATTACCTCTCAACTGATTCATAGTTAAAATATATAATACAAATTCTACGTCTTTTTTTCTATAATAGAATGTATAACAAGAAAGCCTAATTAATTATTCCAAAGGAATGTCTTAAAATTTAATCATATCAAAAATATCAAATTTTACTCTTATCACTTTTTTATTGTTATATATTGTCAAGGATCCTGTTATGAAGACTTGAATCACAGACTTGCAAAATAAAAATTAGTATATGAATTTTGAATTAAAGTGCTAAAATCATATTTAAATTACGAAATACAAAAACTTAAAATCGACGGAACTAACAATATTACAATGTCATGATTTTGAGATGTCCAAATAAAATAAATAATAAACTTATATGTTGGCAGTCTAACAAAAACATAAATTTAAAATGTGTATTTTAAAGGCAAAACTTTAAATATTGTTTAACGAAAATAAATTATTTTTGTTGCAAACATATTAGTTTATTAATTAAAAAATCCTAATTCGTGATAAAATAAAACTATACTAACAATAAAATAATCTAAGATATGTACAATTGTAGTAATGTAATCTATAAAATATTACAACATGTTAAAATAACAATGTGTCAAGGCACAAGATCAGGCTAATAATTTATTTTAAATACTTTTATTTAGTTTTAAAACAATTTACAAAGGCAGTGGAATTTCCCAATTCTACTTTTTATCAAAGTATCAGGGAGTCCCGCGGCAAATTTCGTTTATAATTTGAAATAACTCGAAATGAGATTAAAACTGTGTGTGATGAAGGTCGGTCTTTGAGAAATCAGTTGGTATGGATCACGCAAAGAACGCGATATCTCAGTTAGTAGACGTGGGACCTACACCAAACTTATACGAGTTTATAATGGCATTAAATAGACAAGTTCTGCGCAAGCAGAATTTAAATTAAAGTTTTTCAGTGCGCCTCACCAGCCCCCTGCCACCCCTAATTAAGATTATTCAAATTGGTGCAATTCATAATTCACTAAAGTTTATCGACAAATTTCAAAATTTATTTTTAAAAAACAAGACTTACAGATTTTATATCATTTTTATTTATTTTTTCAAAGGATAATAAAAATTTAAATATGAAATCCGTAATTCTTAGATTTTTTTGAATTAATTTTGAAATTTGCTGATAAAATGTAGTGAATTATGAATTGCACCAATTGTGAGGGCGGTGAAAAACTTCAATTTAAATTCTGCTTGCGCAGAACATTATAAACTCATTTAAGTTTGGTGTGGGTCCCATGTCTACTAATTGAGATATACCCAAAATCCATCATCCTTCACTGCCACCTGATAACCTTCATCATGAGCACACACTTTTAAATGCCTCACAGTCTCATTTTAAGTTATTTCAATTTTAAAAACGAAATTTGCCGCAGGACACCCTGTATGATCATAAAAATAACTTAGTGCAAAAAATTCAAAGAAATAAATAGCGGTATGATATAGTTATTTACCGGTTACTGCCTGAAAAGAATAAAACTACCTTAAAAAATAAGAAACAATTTGAGATCAGATCTATATGATTTAAGTATGGTGTAAAAATTGTTGCCAAAAATTTGAAGTTGTAGTTTTGTTCTTTTCAAACACCAATTCGAAAATATTCTGTACCTATAAATGTATGTAAAATATTGCTTGGTTTGGCTTTGATACAAATTGAGACCACAACGCTTTGCTCGGCATGGCCGAGCTTCAATAATAACAAAAATGAATCACTTGTGAAATGACACTAAATCAAATATAAATAGCATCGGAGCCCTTGTTTGTTTGGTGTCCGGTAGACACGTAAGTATTTGGGCTGGCGATGTTTTCCGACCAATCGGAATTGACCGAGCGGGGCGAACTCGACGACCAGTGGCCGGGACTTTCGGGACTCGGCGTGGAGAAGTTGTCCGCCAGCAGGTCGGAATGTTGGGAGGGGGGAGTGAGATAGTAGTTGGGCTGCTGGTACTGCTGCGGTTGCAGGTTGCAGGGGGTCTGCGTGGCCGTTAGCCCGGTCGCGTAGCCCATCGTTGCTTGGCTGAAATCGAAGCCCATCTGAAGGTTCTGGGTCTGAGGCACGCCGCCGTGCTTCTGATGGGTGGCGGCTCTCATGGCCGCTATGTGCGTAGGGCTGGTGGGCAGTGACGGGCGCGTCTTTGCCGGCGACGGAGAACCGTTGTAGCCTTGCGGGGACAGCGAAAGATTCGATTGCACTGAATGCGGAGGGGATTGATTCGAGTAGGGGGGCGAAAGCGTGTTTGGTTGCATTTGCCGCTGTTGCATCATCTGCAATTGGTCAGGGAAGTTACCTAGATTGAACGTGTAATTGTCCAGGTTATAGGTTTGCTGTATGTTGCCTTTGACCACGTCCTCGTAGCTGGGTGGTTGCTTGTTTCCCATCAGTCCCTCCAGGCCTGCGGTCAAGCCCATGTTGGAGTATAGCGAAGCCGTGTCGTATGGGCTTGGCAAATTGGTCATTGGTGATTCCACCGGACTCAATGTCGACGTAATCGAATCCACGCTCTGTGGAATTTCGGTGTGTTGTTGATTTTTCTTGGTTTTCTTGACGCTTGCCTTGCGTCGTATACTTCCGGTCATTTCATTCTCGGGACTCCTTGGATCGTTGTTGTTGTTGTTATTGTTATTTTTGCTAGGTCTCTTCGCTTTCGGTCTTTTCGGAACTATTACGGTCGGTTGTTGCAACATATGGCCGGTGGGAGAAGTCATAATATTATTGTTTTGTATCACGTTTACCATTTGCGGGTTTCTAGGTACGTGTTCATCCAGAAGTCTTACAATGTCATGGTGCAATCTTTCACTGGCCACATCTCTGGGTAGTCTGTCCATATGGTCGGTTATTTCGCGGTTTGCGTACGCTTCCAAAAGAGCCTTGCAAGCCTGGTAAGAACCTTCCCTGGCTGCTAAAAATAGTGGAGTTTCGTCTTTGTCGTCTTGGGCATCTCTGTTGGCACCGTGAGCCAATAAAATATTAACAGCCTCTACGTTGTTAACAGCTGCGGCCCAATGTAATGCGGTTTTCCCGGAATTATCAGATGCATTAATGTCGGCTTCGGCGCTTATCAAGTCTTGCACCATTCCTTCAATAGCCAAACGAGCTGCCAAAATGAGCGGCGTTGTTCCTTCGTGCATTCTTGCATTCAAATTGGTCGCCCTGTTCCTAAGCAATATTTGGAATACACCCAAAGCATCAGCAGCAACTGCAGCATGCAAAGGAGTTCTTCCGGTGTTGTCTTGTGCGTTTGCATCCGCTCCTGCATCCAATAACCTCTTAGCAGCATCGGCTCTGGCGTATCTGGCAGCAAGATGCAAGGACGTTTCACCTGTCTTGTCCATTGTAGCGTTCAGTTCGGCGCCTTGAGCCACCAGGTCTTGTATGATGGCACCGGCAGATTCGTCCTCATCGTCTTCCCCAGTATCCATTCCACCGCCGCGAACGGAAGCAACCATAATGGGGGTCATTCCGCAGGGTCCTCTTGCGTTTATGTCGGCGTGGTCGTTTCCTTGCGGTGGAGTCAACATCGCTGGCGGTCTTAAATCGGCTGCCTCCAAATGCTGTTGCGTCCATCTGGGTTCGGCTTCTTCGTATTCAGTTATGGCGGTATGGTCGCTTGCGTATCCAGCTTCTATACCTCGGAAACGTTTCGGTTGCGGCATATCAGATTCATCATCAGACCACTGGGGTAAGTGGCCTTGATTACCACGCATGTCCACTTCCATTCCGGGTAACGATGGATTTTTGCTGAGATTTCTTAACTCTTGTCCTTCGGGACCGCGTCTTCTCGACCGCCTGGTCCCCGAGTTGTTGGCGAGGAATCCTTCTGGGAACCATGTGATACCAGCAGCACGTTTTCTTTGTGTTTTGACCACCATGAAGAGGAGGAACGTCATGCAAACCACCATTAAGGCTCCGATTATGATCCATTTATTGGAATGTTGCATTTCTTCGGGACCGTCGCCGGTCGTGCCAACCTGATAGATTGGAAAAGATTTCGATAGGGTGTGTCGGGAAGCGCTGGCAGCCAAAAAATCGGCAGCCGCACTAGCAGTTTGGAAGCAGTACTCGGAATCCGATGTCGTAGTACATTTTCTGTTATCAATTTCCAAGTAGACTTTCACACCGGACTGCGACTGTTCTGCATATATTATGTTGTGTTTGCTGGTGTAATAATCGTTGTTTAAATCGCTAGGAGTCGATCCGTGCCATGGAAAAATCATTTCGTTACCGAGTTCGTCTTTCTTGACTCTCACCGTGGTTCTCAGTTGGTGACTTGTGTCTCTAAGGAAGGCAACCAAGTTCTTTTTAAAGCCCTGCACGTCCATTAGAACAACCATGGAGATGACACCTTCAGCGAGCTCTGGAGGATTTATTTCACAATCGAGCCCATCCCAGTTACATTCGGCATTGTTGCAGCCGTAGTCGCAATGGCCGTTGGCGTAGTGTTTCTGGCAATAGCCGTCGTAAATTGGGTTGCAAGGTTGTAAAGATTGTTCGCAATCGCGCCCATCAAACAGGCACTGTGGGTTGTTACACTCTTCATTGCATGTTTTGTCCATAAACACCTCCCAGCACTTGATGGAAGCAGTGCAATTAGCCCATGGGTTCAAGCCCAACGAGCAATCGTTACCGTCGAATTCGCAAGCATACTTATTACATTCTTCATCGCACCTCATGTTTCCTCGTTTCATTGAACAATTCATTTTCAGGCATTCTTGCCGTTGCTTCTCCAGGTCTCTCACGTAAAAGTTGCTGACATCTTGTTTTGTTATGACATTTTGTCCTATACCTCCTGGGGAAGCTATATCGAACTTGTCACAGTTCTTACCCACAAACTGCGGCGGGCAGAAGCAGATGTAATCGCCCAGTTTATCTTGGCAAGCAGCCTGTCCGTAACAAGGATTGCTATCGCATTCGTTTAAAGAGTCGATTTCGCAGTTGTTACCCATCGTACCAGCAGGGCATTCGCAAACGTAACCACCACCGTCGGAAATCAAACATTGTCCGCCGTTTTGACACGGACTGGAATCGCAATCGTAACCGCTAAACTCGCAGTTCTTTCCGTAGAAACCATCCGGACAGGAACATTTATGACCGGCGTGTATCGTGGTGCATACTCCTCCGTTTTGACATGGGGATTGCGCGCAGAAGTTGACTTTCCTTTCGCAGTGCCTTCCCATGTAGCCGGCCTTACAGTTGCAGTGATAATCGTTTACAAGTTGTACGCAATCCAAGGTTCCGGCGTCGGAACAAGGATTCGACAGGCATTCGTTGATGTCTCCTTCGCATCTGGGGCCGACAAAACCTGCCGGACATTTGCACTCAAATCCTCCAACTTTGTCCATGCAGGTACCGTTGTTGTGGCAGGAATCCGACCTACAGTCGTCAATGTTGATTTCACAAATGTATCCCAATGTACCGGGTGGACACGAGCACACAAACGAGTTGACTTGATCGTGGCAAGTACCGCCGTTTTGGCATGGATTCGGCATGCAGTCGTCGATGTTCAGTTCGCAGTTTTGACCCTGGAACCCAGGAGGGCACTGACAAGAATAGGAAGCGACCAAATCTTTACAGGTGGCGCCGTTTTGGCATGGTGCAGAGTCACACTCGTTTATTTCTTCCTGACAATAGGATCCAGTGTAGCCGTCCAAACAATGGCATCTGTGAGAGTTACCAATATCCTCGCAGCTACCGTTGTTACACAAGGTTTTCTTTGGTACGCCTGCAATAAAATAAACATGTTAATAAGTTTGTCAGCAGTAGTCAAATTTGTTTATTTACCTTTGCTAATAGCAGCGTCGTTACAACTGACCATTTGAACGTCACAAACTTTACCGGTCCATCCTATCATACACTGACATTGGTACTGATTTTTCATTTGTCTACAAGTGGCTTCGTTCTCGCAAGGATTCGTCGAACACCAATCAACGTACTCTCCACAGTCCTTTCCGGTGTATCCGTAAGGACAATGGCACGTGTAGTGAGTAGTGTGGTCTTGACAAGTTGCGCCATTTTGGCAAGGATCGCTTTCGCAAAGATTGATTCTATGTTGGCAATTGGTTCCAGTATAGCTATAAGAAAAAAAATAATATAAAATATTTAGAGTTGCCAAATGACCGGTCAGATTGTTTTCGCGACCGGTCAGATTGTGAATGTGACCGTCACTTAATGATGTATCTGATTTTTTTAAATAATAGCTACAACAAAGGCGTTGTGGTTTAGTCATTAATTTGACTTAGTTATACATGTAAACGTTTTTTTAACTACCCTATGAACAGGCTATAAAAAAGTTACAGTTTTCTAATTAGGTTCTGTAGTTTACTACTACTACCTTGGGTTACCATTAGTGATGTAAAAAACGGTTTTTTTCAAATTAAAAAAAATAGTTTAAACCCTCTCATTACAAACATTGTTTTTACTTTGTGGATTGTCAGTCAGAACAGGGTTTTCTAGCCTGTTTAGAAAGCCTGTTCTAAATATTGTAAATATGCGTCTCCCGTGTATATGTCAGTCAACAATTTGCGCATTTTTGGGTCACGGAGGGATAGAGAGCCGATTTAACGGGCAGAAATAATTTGTTAAAGTAATTCTTAGTTTGTTTATTTTTTTGGTCTATTGATTTTAATAAAAATTACACTTTACTATCATTAGAAAAACAAATCAACAATATAATACTTTAACAACAAAAATATCTATAATAATGTTTCTTATTTTACCTTTATAGTAACTTTAACTAACTTTACTATTTAAGTACCTAAAATACCATTGCAATCGCCTAGTCGCATCTATAATATAGATTATGATATTATGATACCGACTTAAGTAAGCGTTGAAAGAAACAATTATTTGCGAGAACCAACAGAATTTTTGAATAACTTTTGATAACTTATTTCAAATATGAATTTTTCAGTTTTTTAATAAAAAAAGAAAGGTAGACAGAAAAAAAAAGAAACAAAGTAATTTAATAACCTGCCAAAAAAAATTACAAAAAAAAAATTTGTATATTTTATAATTTAAGTAGGTACTCATTTATACAAGGTAAAAAAATTAGTACCGAAAGATTGGTCCGAACCGGACAGAAATATTTTTTTTGAAACCGTAACTGAACCCGAACAGAAATTTGTCGTTTCTCTTAGAACCGGACAGGAACCGTTATTTCATTTAGGTCCGGGTCCCTGATCAGTAGCTTTTTTATCACTAACGTATGACAGTAATTTTTAAATTAAGTTCCGAGATTAATTTATTTTTGGGAATGTTTCAAACTAAACTACTTTTTACATAGCTCTGTATGAGTTAATTATAAGAAAAAAGCGTTTGTTTTTATGAAAAAAATAAACAAAACAATTTATGACAGGACATCTCTCGCCATCTAGAGTGTCTTAAAGATACTATAGTAGCATATAATCTCCAAAGTTGGACCAAAATACTCCGACACAAGAAAAATGGGATATCATTGTTTGACAGCTTAGCTAGTTTTAATACTGTTAACTTTCGAAAAGACGGGATTTTATGCTGATGCAACAATGTTTTTTTGTTTATTATTTTTTTAGTTTACATCACTATTACCATACTTTTTTGTTTTTCTATGCTTTAAATTAAAATACTTATTTATTTATTTTTAAAATGAAGGGCATTACAATGAAAGACATGAGTAAATAAAGGTGTTATATTAAATTTTTAATAATAAAAGGGGGTGTTTTAGGGACCGTGGCAAAAAACTGTGGGGGCCCTTATTTCAGCAAGACCAATGTAAGGTCTATTCATTCTTTAGCATATTTTCACCGCATGTAATAGGAGGTCTAATTTTAAATAGAAAATGTTTCGTCCACATGGGTCCAAGTATACCTTCAATATTTTCAATTATTTCCATATTGTATTGACATTACCATTTCTAAAGTGTCTTAAAATATTGACTTACCCTTGTGTGCATTGGCAAGTGTAAGAGTTGATTCTGTCGATACATTCTCCGCCGTACATGCAACTAGAGTCCGTGCAGTCTTCATCGTTGGTTTGACAATTGATGCCGGAAAATCCAAGAGGGCATGTGCACGTGTAGGAGTCCACATATTGGTTGCAGGTGGCACCGTTAAAGCACGGATTCGACAAGCACTCGTCCACATCTATTTGACACTGCTTTCCCTCGAAGCCGCTCACACAGTAGCACATGTAATCGCCGATACTGTCCAAGCATGATCCTCCATTTTGACATGGAACTGGAATAAAAAAAAAAGTAATTAGTTTTTGCTGTGTGTGTTTTTATGATTTATTGTGATTCGTTTTGAATGAACATTTATTTTTTGTCACTCCCCAAGCAAAATATTGATTTACATAACGAGAAAAGTGCCCTTAAAGTTGTAGTCCTTAATCCTACTCCTACTTTAATTTTGATTTTAAAGTTTTTCCCTTGAAATAACAATATTAATGTCTAATAGCTTGACGACATTTTACGTTACTACAATTTACATACATACATGTAGGACCTACATTGTAGGTGTGATGTTTACATGATTGGGTGATCTTTTTAAAGTACTTACTTGCAATAATTTTACAACAATTTCGAACGAAATCATATTTTTAATAAAAAACAGTATTTTTGCATTTTACGGCAAAACAGTTAAAGTTACAGTTAAAAAGTTTAAAAGATTTTTATAGGAAATTAAATATCCTATAAAAAAAGTTCTAACGCAATAAAATGTATAATTTAAAAGTTATAGAGCATTTAATCAATTTTATTGTCAAATATTGATAAACTAATTAGTCTTATGTTAATTTACGGCAAAACTGTTAAAGAGTAAACAAAACTTTTAAAGAAAATTCATTTTCTTGCAAAAAAGACTTAAGTCTTATGCAATAAATGCAATGCGATAAAATGCATTTTAGAAAATATAGAGAATTTAATAAATTATACTGTCAAATATTGATAATTTAATTAGTCCTATGTTGTTTTACGGCAAAACGGTTAATGGTAGGTACTGGTAAAAAGTAAGAAATACTTTTAAAGGAAATGTCCTAAAAAACTAGTTTCATGCATTATTACAATAAAATGTATAGTTTAATTTTAATAAATTGTACGGTCAACTATTGATAAACTAATTAGTTTTATCAAAATTTGACAGTTTAATCTATTAAATGCTTTACATTTTATGGATTTAATTAATTAATTAATTAATCGGAATTAATGCATATAATCTTTTTTATAGGAAATTAAGTTAAACTTTAACTGTTTTGCCGGCAATAAATACTTTTTTTTTTAATTAAAAATTGCAAGTACTTTGAAGAGTATAGCTATAGGAAATTAAAGAAAAATCCTTAATTTCCTACATATCCAATGGAAAAACTTTAAAATCAAAATAAAAGTAGATTAAGGACTGAAACTTTAAGGTTTTTTTTCTCGATATGTACGATGTATATCGGTGTATATTCTCGATATATACGGTGTATATCAATATTTTGCTTGGAGTGACAAAAAATAAATGTTCCTTCAAAACAAATCACCCTAATGTAGGTACTTACATGATGCACAGTCGTCGGTGTTGATCGAACAATCTTTTCCTTCGTAGCCCTTAGCGCAAATGCAGTGGTAGGAACCGTTGGTGTTTTTACAGGTGGCTCCGTTACGACAAGGTTTAGTGACGATGCATTCATCGACATCCTGCTCGCAGAATCGTCCTGTATATCCAATGCTACAGGTGCAAGCGAAATCAAGGAAGTTGGAGCTTGGCGTACATTTGGCGTTATGGCTGCACTTGTTTGGCTGGCAGGGATCCAATTTTTCTTGACACTGTCTACCGGTGAACGGTAGCTCGCAAACGCATTTGTAATCGTTGACCAAGTCGATGCATGATCCACCGTTTTTGCAAGGATTAATGGCGCAATCATCGATGTTAGTTTCGCAGTTGATACCGGTATATCCGGGTAGACATTCGCAGGAATAAGAGGCCAAGTGATCGTGGCACACGCCGCCGTGCTGGCAAGGATTCGAAGCGCACTCGTCCACGTTTATCTCGCATTGTTTTCCTCCGTAGCCGGACAAGCAGTGACATATGAACTGATTGACGCCGTCCTCGCAGCTGCCGCCGTGACGGCAAGGATTCGACGCACATTCGTCCACGTCGCTGAGGCAACGGGCGTCAAAGTATCCTCGCGGACATTCGCATCGGAATCCGTTCACCAAGTCGATGCAGACGCCGCCGTTGGCGCACGGGTTCGAAGAGCACTCGTCTATGTCGTTTTCACAATGACGTCCGGTGAATCCAGGCAGACATTCGCAGCTATAACTGAAATTTGAAAAGCGATATGTTATAACATATAACTATAGTTAAGCTTTGCCAACATCCTAAGTGTTTTTTTTTTAATAAAATTAATGATCTTAAACATTTAAAAAATCTTAACTAAACAAATTAAAATTAATATTCAGATAAACTATTATAAAGGAAAGGTACAGGGCCGAAGCCAGGGGGGGCAAAAAAGGGCGCCGCCCTGACATACAAATCTTTCGCCCTGGGAAAGCTTCTCAAACTAATTAAAATTTAATATATTTTTTAATATAGCTTTAAATATAGAAATAAGAAAAAATTATTTTCCTGCACAATAAAAACCCCTTTGACTGAAATTTACTAACCCACTAAAAACGTTTTTCTTAAAATTATTTGCAAAATTCTTCAGAAAAAACATTTGCTATTTTTTATTTATTATTTAAGATATATTTTGCGTGGAATTCCCCGAATGGACCAACTTTTCTTTATATTTACTTTATTATAAAAATATTGCGAAAAAATTAAAAGAAAAGTTGGGATTTGCGACATTTTAAGTTAAAAAAATACAAATGTCGTAGGTACTTTGAAAAAGTAATGTTTTTTCTCGAAAAACTAAAACATTTTATAAGATAACACTTTTTTGTATCTTTTTCTAAAAAGCAAGTTTATAAGAGAAATATTAAAAAAAAAACGTCTTGATAAGTCACTATTTTTTTTTAATTTTCGGTTGGGTAAAATTTGAATAAATCTAAATTTTAGTAGCGTAATAATATCAAAATATCAGTCAAATCACAAGAGATGTTCAAAAGTTGCAGATTTGGTGTGAAATGCCCCATATACATAAATTCTCGTATTAGCTAATCTTATTGGCTATGAATACCATGACCCTGGCAGGGTAACGATTTAGGAACATTGACAAAAGGCAAAAATATCACACAAAATTGCTATATAAATTAGGGTGTCCGTGTTATTTACCGAGTTGGCTTTTTCTCTTGGGTATCATCTAAATTGTTGCAGTCTAAAACATTGTTTTCCGATTTCGCCTAAATGATGATACTTTTTCGTTTTAAAAAATTCATAACTAGTTAATAAATAGACATGCAACAATACTAATATACAAGACATAAATAGGTACAGTCGTTGCCACGAATGCTTGCTTGCGGACTGCACACACAAACATTCACGGCGACGACTGTACCTACTTTTGTATGAAATTAAAAAAAATGTTTAAGGTCTTTTTTTGTAAAACCATCTATTTAAACGTTATCGGAGGTCAAAGTTGTTTTTTTCACACATCTTAATCATTTGTTAATAGTCTAGAAACAGTTTTTGAAAAAAAATTGATGTTGTTTAACCCTGCCTAAATGACAATTATTTGTTTTAAACATTGACCTCCCATATAATTAATATAAAGACATTTTGGTAGAGCATTGAAAATAAAACTAAAATTGTTTTTAGACTGTAAACAAATAATTTAAATGATACCCAAGTGAAAAAGCTAACTAACAAAAACAACTTAGTTGTCATAACTTTGATGATAGGAAAAATCAGACTTCATACTTTTATATCCCTTCTGATTATTTATAACCGTCACTATACTACTGGAAAACGTAGTTTTTTATAGTGCTATACTATACTTCATAAATAACTAAAATCAATAAGCACGTTTTTAATAAATTTTTTATTTTGTATACATATTTTTTACTCCATCTACCGACTAAACGAAGCAATTTCGTATATAACTAACTTAAATCGACCTATTTAAACCCTGATTTTTTTAAAAGTAGAAGAAACTGTTTTGATAAACAATATTGTAAACTAAAATTAAATTGAACATTATTTTGCAATAAATACAAAATGATAAATTAAAATTTAATTTATCATTTTGTATTATGGTGATAAATTGTCAGATTTGATTTGCATTATTTCATGCTAAGTAGCAAGCCTTGTTAAAAGCGAGTTGAATCGCTAAATTTTACATGAAAATAAAAATATACTGGGTGTCCGGAAATAACTTTAATATATTTCGGGGGGTGATTCTTCACGTAAAAATAAAAGGAAAACTTGCTATTAACAAATGTCTGAAAATGCTCCCTCGGGGAGCTATAGGCATTTTAAACTATTTCGCACAATCAGGATTTTATTATTAATTAGTAATAACCTTTTCTGAAATAATAATTATAATTATTATTTCAGAAAAGGTTAGTGTCAAAATAATGATGCTTTATTTCTAGGTTATTTTTTGGAAAAGAAACCATCTGGTGGTGTCAAATCGGGTAAATGATGACCATAGGCATGCGAAACACGGACTACTCGGGGAAAACATCCTCATAATTTTTTGTGGGGTTTTTTATGCAATTCTCCAGATAATTTTACGTAAAAAAGTTGCTCTTGTTACAGACATGGAGCCAACCATGGGGGTGGAACTCATATAGGAATATGCGCAACAAGCGCCTCCCGAGCAACGTTGCCATATTTCCTTTTTGTGGCTTAAGTCATCTGCTTTAATAATTATTTTAATTGTCAGTTTTGACTTCTGTCAACAATAGAAAGTATTTTTTGAGTTTTTTTCACATGTATTGCTTTCCCTTGAAGTTACAGTAAGTATATACAATAAATCAGTTGCTTTTATGTTTTTTTGGAGATTGACATACCTATTAAATAATTAATTTATATGTAATTTATTACGATTAGTTTTTTTTGTAAAAACCAATACTACTTAATAATATTGGCACATTTGCTTTGATAGGGACTATTGTTGTTTGAAAGTAATTTCCAGCGTACTGATATCCCTGGTGGAAGAAGTTATTGAAATTTTTACTTTTGTAATGCATTAATGGACATAAAATTTTTTTTAATACATGTATGTTTTTTTAGGCCCAAAACCGATGCAGGAGGGAAGTTTTATACCTTCTTTCACTTCTAAACCCATTCAAAATACAGATGCACTGTTTGTATATTATTTAATTTATTTTATTGTTAAAATTAATGTATTATAACCATTTACTTTTTAAAATAAATAAATCTTTGCAACTATTTTATTTTATTGGTCAAATTTAAATAAATTAATATTATAATTATTAATATATACAAAATAGATAAAGCCGGCCCTGTAGTATAAAAGTTAATAAAATCTTTGGAGTTCGGCCCTAATTGGCAGGCGTTTATGACGTTTGTGTTGCTTAAGTTTAACACAGTGGTCGCCCTTCTTATATTTTTTTTCTATGGAGCCAACCGTTTCGAGATATTATATTATATTAAAAAATATCAAGCAAATTAGTACGAATTAGGCAATAGAAAAACAAGTTAGCCTGTTTCGCCAATATATATCGTTTTTTGTTAGTGGTGACATTTGTCAAATCGTTTGTCATAACATAAATCAGAACAAACTGTAATTTCTAAGAAAAATGGTAAATTACATTTTCCAAGAAATGACCAACATGCATTTCATGTACGGTAATATCGTAATAGTGGCGAAGCTCGAAGATTGTACCAAGGAGCATTCCTGGGTATACCCTTATGTGAACTTTTAAAGTAAACAAAGGTCATTGCGGGATAAATCGAACAACTCGAACAGTGGAAAACGAAGAAACGTTCCTGGAAGTAGTTGCCGCCATTGTGAGACAAGCACTAGAAGAATTGCTATGCAAGAGGACGTTCCAAAAAGTACAGTTTGGGAAATAATGCACAAACAAATGCTATATCGCTATTATTTACAGAGAGTAAATTCTTAAGATCTTCCACGCAGCTGGTTAAAAACAAAATGGCATGAAGATCTCAACTTTATTGTAAAATTTATTTTTACCGATGTAGCCGGATTCAATAGGGATGGAATTATTAATTTTCATAAAAGGCATTCATGGGCTTATATAGATCCGCATGCCTTTATTGAATCAAGGGCCTTGATTCAATAAAGGCATGCTGGTGCTTTGATTCAAGGCACCAGCAAAGATTTTCTATCAAAGTTTGGGCAGGAATAATTGGCGATTGTTGGCTTCAGATTTTTTACGTAAATTATTGTATTCCAAGATTGAGAATTCAACAAAACCCCACGCCTATGGTATCATTTATCCGATTTGACCACCAGATGATTTCTTGAACAAAAAATACGCCAGAAATAAAGCATCATTATTTTGGTACTAACCATTTTGAAATAATTAATAAAATCTGATTTTGCGAAACAGTTTAAAATGCCTATAGCGCCCCCAGGGAGCATTTTCAGGCATTTGTTTATAGCAACTTTTTCTTTTATTTTTACGTGTAGAATTTCCCCCCAATATATTATCGTTATTTCCGGAGACCCTGTATACACTGAATAACATTATCATGCAAAATTCTCGTTAAACATAAAAGCAATAAAAACATAGCAGACGTCACACAAACACATTTAAAAAACGACTTACGGTTGAAATGGGTTCTCACTGTTTAGCATGAAAAGAAATTAAAGAAATTAAAATTCTGTACAAAAAATAGGGTTCTTTGATGTTACAACCCCGTTATATTATTATACCCTTAAATAATTATAAGGTTTATTGATTGCAAATTTTAATTACCTGTTGATTCCATCGACGCATCTGGCGTTATTTCTGCAAGGATTGCTGTAGCATTCGTTTACGTTGATTTCGCAATTCGGTCCTGAAGTTCCAGCCTTACAAATGCACTGATATCTGTTGACCAAGTCCTGACAAGTACCTCCATACTGGCAAGGGTTTGATTCGCACTCGTTTATCTGAGTTTGACATAGATACCCTGTATATCCAGGATGACAGGTACAGGAAAATGAATTCTCCCCATCGATGCACTCGCCGTGCTGACAAGGCGACGATTGGCAATCGTTGATGTTCGTTTCGCAGGACATGCCGTTGAATCCCGGCGGACATTCGCACGTGTATCCCGCGATTGAATCGTGGCATGCGCCTCCGTTTCGGCAAGGGTTCGATATGCAATCGTCGATGTTCGTTTGGCATCGAGATCCGGTGAACCCCACGGTGCAGGAGCATTTGAAGGAGTTGATCAAGTCGTGGCAAATTCCGCCATTCAAGCAGGGATTGTCTTTGCATTCGTCTATGTCGATCTCGCATTGTGTACCAGTAAAACCTGAAAAATAATGACTGGTTAGTAAAAATAAAAACATAAAAATTCCCTATTTTTGAAGTCATACTTCTTTTGACAAGTAATAGAAGTTGCGCGTGCAGAGCTAACGAAAATTCGACATCGAGAAATTAGCCATCTTAGAAAATCGATATAAGTGAGGATTTGTTTTACATATTGATAAAAATACTCTAAAGTGTGGACCTTCTTTAGTCCTCCTGTAATTATACGCACTATAGTTCTTTTGATTGTGGTGCTCAATTGAGGCGACCAAACGTAATTAATCTTAATTAGTTTATAATGAGTTTGGGACCACCCTCGTTGGTTTTTATTCATGTAAATAAGCCCTGAAGGTGTAATAGAAAATAAATAATAGTAGCGTTAGCACAAATGAATGGTGGATCATCTATCGTATGACGAATTGATTGACCTGTGTTGGAAGCGCGGTACCTTTATTTCGGCCTCGAAAGAAATTATCTTTAGTTATTGCCACCAGTAAGACTTGATTAATAAAATCTGATAGTGAAATGGTTTTTGCTTAATGTTTCAGGTCGGACTCGTTTTTTTACTTCGGGAGGAATTAAAGCAGCCAGCAACTCGTCATATAAGGTTTTTAGTGTATTAATTTAATATGTTTATCTTGTAATGTAACGTTTTGTTATCGTGTTCAGTTCAATACAGATAGTTAATTGCTCCCATTCTCAGAAAGTTGTTCAATTTTAATACGTCTTCATTATATTCCATTCATATGGTTAGCATTTCCTAGCACACTTTTAATTAAATAAAACAACGCCTTTCACATTATTTTGATTCTGATTATTACATGTTGATCTACTTAAAAAATATTCCTTTGTTAACGACAACTCGTGTTGTGTTAAATAATTGAGGTGATGACCGTCACAAAGTTTTGAAAAATCGTATTAAATTATTTATATTTAACACATACACTTTTTTTGGACCCTATTTAAACAAATTCTAAATGAATTGAATGTTGAATGGAAGAAAGGACGGCATGAGAACCTTTCGATTTTTTTTATTTCGTTTTGTATGCTTGTTGACAGGTTTATTTTTTATAAGTATTGAAAAAGTAGTGGTTATTTAATTAATGTAATGCTGCATTATGAAACCGATATTTTATAAACATGTCAAGCTGATTTATTCATCAATTGATAAGTCTTGTTCACCGAATTAAGAAAACCTAGAAATTGTATTCTACAGATGCTGACAATAGGTATTTTGCTTTGCTTGATGATTTTTTTCAAAGATGTTTCCAAAAGCTTATCTTAAATTAACGAATATGTAAAGATTTTTTTAGTATTTGGTAGATTATTATTGATATGATATTATAATTCTAACCGTAGGTATTTATTGTAATTTTTGAGTCTTGTAAAGTCGAGGATCTGCTTTAAATTGGCAATTTTAATGATTGAATTAATTTAAAAAGGAACACCCCACGTAGCACAGCAATTACAGCATTCCGATTTCCTGAAACAAGTTTTGCGAAAGTTTTTATTTCGAATCAAACATCAGATAATCTCTTTCGGTCGGTGTGTTGCAGTGGTAAATAATCTTCCAGTGTATCAAACCTAATAAATAACTCTCGTGTCACATGCAGAGTTTCCGTTATTCTATTAAACGCGAAATCTAGCTAAATAGTTATAAATAGCGGCTAGATGCGGCGGCGGCTGTGGCACTGCATTGAAGCACTTTAATTGTAGCCTCGGTTTAGCATTATAATTACGACAATGATGCCAGGAGCGTATCACGTATACGTATACAATTCCACACTATCCCGTTTTGCTCAATTTATAACCATTATTAAATTTAAATGTTTTACTTCTCGTTAAATTACCAGTTTGGGATGGAATTTCGCAATGTTGACGAGCCATTTTTCTACTTTATGCGTTTCCATGCCAAAAAATTTCCCATCTCCGCGCGATAACAAATTGGCTTAATCAAAGAAGCATTTAGATACAAATTTAAACTCTTATTGCTGCTGCTACATATGGGAACGCTTTTTTATGAAACGACCAAAATAATGATCTTTATCTTCCTTTAGGAATCATGTTCTCTTGCGTTTTATTCAGTCCGACATTCTATTAAAGAGAAACCGTGTAATAGGTGAGTAAGATCACCTCAAGTGGACCCTCCATTTCTCACTTGATCGTGGAATTCAAATAAATATATTTTAATATAAAGTAGTCACCATCAATAATAAAACCCTAAAACAGTTTTTTGAAATTTTCATTTTAACACCAATTTTTTTTACAATGAAAATTTTGGAGACTTTTAATTAAAAAATAGATAACAGAAAAACCGTTAAAAATATTTTAATAAAATTTTCAGGATTTATTGTTTAATATTCACATTTTCAAAAACAATTAAAAATTTTAAATTATTTATTTATTATCATATTTTTAATTAACTTTTAAATAAACAAATAAAAATTTTAATGACTTCTCCCTCAAATTATAAATTTGTTTTATTTCAGTTACATGCATTGTACACTTTAGTTAAATATTCTGCAATAAAATTTCACTGCCCACTATTAGTTTAAACAATATGAATTTATTTATTCCCGAGCGCGAGCCATTTCGGTAAAGCGCGCTACCGTGCACCGTAGACTCGGATCCGCTCCAATCAGTATTAATAAATAATAAACTGTCGTTGACAATAGAAAACCATATTATTTAACAAATTTAATTTTTTTAATGATAGATATTATATTTGTTTTTAAATATAAATAAAGAATGTAAAAATTAACAAATAATTAAATGAAACATTTATAAATGTCCCATGGCGGGTTACTTTTATATTGTTTTTTTTTTTAATTATAATATATATAATTATTTGTTTTATATATATATATATATATATATATATATATATATATATAAACGTAAATAACAAATGAATTTTACAAGCCATTTGTTAAATAAGTTAATTAATACTAAACACAAGAATTCTAATTTTTAGATTTGCGTTTAACTACTTTATTAATTAATTAACTTTATAATGTTTATTAATATTTATTATTTTATGGGGCGAGTGAATAAATGCTCTAATCTTTTTTTAAATTACGTGATAATTTCAGAAAAAATTACTTATGACACAAGCTCAGTTTATTTTTTAATTTAAAGTTAATTGAAAAATAAATTCGGAGCTAATAATATTTAAAAAATGTCCAACTTTTTTGACGCAGCAGGTTCTCAAAATTATATTTATTTTATACTGAGAACCTGCTGTGATGTCACATCACACAGTAAAGGAGCATGTGATGGCTTATGAGGAAGCGTGAAAAGACAAGCTTATCGTGCTAGTCTACGTCGCGACAATGATAAGCACATTACTACTGCAAAGTCAATATTTAAATGGGCCAAAATTACTTCTGCTCTCAAAAGGAACATGATTCTCATGAACAAAAATACAAAATACGTTTTCAACAATCTGTTACTATACAAATTACCCGCCAGATATAGACGGTGTATCACTTCAGTGTAAGCTTTTTTCAAAAGATAAAAAAATTAAAACTATTAAAATTTTTTAAGAAAAAATATAAAAAAGTAACATGCTAAGGGGAAATGTATGTTTCATTTAATTATTTGTTAATGTTTATAGTCTTTATTTATAAATACAAACAAATATTATACCTATTTGTTATAAATTACATTAAAAAAAATTATTTTTTTTAAATAACATTGTTTCTTATTGTAAAAGAGTTTATTTTCTATAAATACTAATTGGAGCGCTGGTCAAGTCTACGGCGCGCGGCATGCCGCGGCAGCGCGCTGAACCGACAGCGATCGCGCTCGGGGATAAATTAATTCATATTGTTTAAACTAATAGCCGGCAGTGAAATTTTCTTGCAGAATATTTAACTTAAGTGTACAATGAATGTAACTGAAAAAAAAAACCAAATTTATAATTCGAGGAAAAAGTCATTAAAATTTTCATTGGTTTTTTTAAAAGTTAATTAAAAATAAAAATAAATAATTTTAAATTTTGAAATATTTTTCAATCCTAAAAATTTCATTAAAATGTCTCCAACGGTTTTTCTGTCATCTATTTTTTAATTAAAAGTCCAAAATTTTCATTGTAAAAAAATTGTTGAAAATTTTGAATGGCTTAATTTGTTATTATTGTTTATATATAAAAAAAGAAATAAAGATAATTAAAAAAACTATAAAAACAGTAGATAAAATATCTATTTGTTATAATTATTACATTAAAAAAATTAAATTTGTTAAGTAATATGGTTTTCTATTGTCAACGACAGTTTATTATTTATTAATACTGATTGGAGCGGATCCGAGTCTACGGTGCACGGTAGCGCGCTTTACCGAAATGGCTCGCGCTCGGGAATAAATAAATTCATATTGTTTAAACTAATAGCGGGCAGTGAAATTTTATTGCAGAATATTTAACTAAAGTGTACAATGCATGTAACTGAAATAAAACAAATTTATAATTTGAGGGAGAAGTCATTAAAATTTTTATTTGTTTATTTAAAAGTTAATTAAAAATATGATAATAAATAAATAATTTAAAATTTTTAATTGTTTTTGAAAATGTGAATATTAAACAATAAATCCCGAAAATTTTATTTAAATATCTCTAACGGTTTTTCTGTTATCTATTTTTTAATTAAAAGTCTCCAAAATTTTCATTGTAAAAAAAATTGGTGTTAAAATGAAAATTTCAAAAAACTGTTTTAGGGTTTTATTATTGATGGTGACTACTTTATATTAAAATATATTTATTTGAATTCCTCGATCAAGAGTTAAATGGGGGGTCCACTTGACGTGATCTTACTCAGGTGTTAAATTCCCATAGTTTATTTAACTAAAACTGGTTAAAAAGTGAAATGACAAACATTTGCATGTTAGCAAAAAATATATCTAACCCGAAATAACATTCGCTATGAGAGACCACCTGTAGTAACATTTTTCCCAAACATTTCATAATAAAATTTGTATCGACGGCAAATTTCGCAGGCATTTGTCAGCAGGGTAAAAAAGCAGGAATATTGGACGGAGGATTTTGAGACGGGTCAAATTGCCAGACCATTATTCAATTACATACAACAATGCCTCTGATTGAGCCAGCATAAGCCGGCGCGCATCAAAAGATATCGCAAATTTCAACAAACCACAATAAACTTTTACTTTTATTTTAATTGATGCAGTTCACATAATATATATCACATCTAATAATAGTGGGTATCGTTACAGTTTTTCCATTTCAGATTCAGCAAGAAGAACAAAGCATTTCGCGATTGCGGTGCATGGCGATGCAATGCACCTTTGTGCCATAAGTATTATTATTAACGGTTTCGCAGTCTAGAGAGGTCTCCCATAGACACGCCTTTCTATCCGACTTGGTTATGCCCTTTTAGTGCTCCCACGCGCTGCTCTTTTTTCGCAAACGTTACAAACATTCGCTATTGCCTGAGATTCGCAACCCATACCTCCACAGCCAACAATTGCATAATGGCAATAAATTCGGATTATAGTAGGGGATCAGATCGCTAACAACACCAGAAACAATATGTGGCATATGCAAGAGAAAACCCAAGTATATTTTTAATTTCATAGGTCGGCAAAGCTTAACTTAAGGAGTGTTTTTCAATTTGTTTGAACCTGATATTCAATTTTAAATGTTAGTCTATAAGTTTATTAAAAAAGCAGTATGGGATAAAATATTTGAATATGACAAAATCCTTTAAAATGTTTTGTAAATTAAAAGTTTATTTTTGATACGAGTAGTTGCGAAAGTTATTTATGTAGGTTGTTTATGAAGTAATTAAAAAAATCGTTTGTGGATACATCATGGAGGGATTCGATCAGAAAAACTGTAAAACCGGACATTCCGTAATTTGTTCATTAAATCGCCAAGTGCATTTAAATTTGTTAGCCAGCGAACACATTAATTAGTACGTTTCTAAATCATAAATTAATTCAAAGATCTCACTAAATATGGAAGCTTGTTTTCAATATATTTATACTACTGGAATTTAAGAGCAAGATATTTATGAAGCAACTAACAAGGATCAGCAATTAATTAGTGTGGACGGATCGAATAGGACTGTTTGATGTACGCGTTATAATTTTCTTCTACCTTAATATGTCCATCCTTATTAACATTTGTCGCTTTTGTTGGTGGTGCTTCTTCTTTCTTATTACGCGTTTCGTTCGTTCTCTGATATCATGACGTGTCAGCATGCCCAAAGGGGCAATACTCTCTTAATCCGAACAACAAAATTATAAGACTTTCCTCCCATTTTTCGGGAAACGGTCAATTTTAACATTATAATTTAGGGTATGTTATGTAACAAAACATATGAGCACTACATTTACTGTAAATTATAAACGTTTCCAAAAAATGAAAAAAAGCCAAAAAGTCAATTAAAAGATTTTTTACTCAAAAAGCATATTTTGCCACTATTCAATAAACTGCTACAAGAACCAAGTACTTAGTCACTTTTTTCTGAAAACACCAGTAACACGCTTGTGGGAAAAATATTTAAAAAGTTTGACATTCACATTCATGTGCAATTTATAGAGCAAATTGGATGAATCATTAGCAGCTTCTATCTAGTTCAGTAACTTTGAAATAATTTAATCATCAAGTCTATTTCTGGGAATGATGGAAATAATTAAGATAGGGATTTATGGAATTTCTATTAATACATTTCTTCTTAATCTTTGTTGAAAAGATATGCGAGGCATGTTGTTAGGGCCATAATTTTATAAAATTAAATGTCTATATTTTCAATTCAACTAGAATTATCCTTTTTATTTAGTTTTATTCGAAAAATAATTAACCTAATAAAATTGATTAAAGATTTGTTTAAAACAAATATTTTTAAGAGTATTTTTGTTTTGATGATAATTAAAGTTTTCTAAATATTTTTAAAGTGCGGACGCGCTTAAACCTGCAGACCACACATGTGTGGTATTAGAATATTCAAACAAAATTCGCAGTTCAAAAAATGGTAAGACAGATTCGCAGTAGTTCAAAATTTAAAAAAAATGTGAAAAAGTCCGCACATTAGTTGAAAATGATGGGACAAATTTTAAAAATCTCCAAATGTTCAAAAAATTTATAATTTAAAATTTTTTTTTAATTTCCAAGAGACATATTTTAAATTTTTCATACCATAAGCCAATTGATTCTATTTTACAATAAAATTTTTGATACAAATAAAATTAATAAATCAAGCAAATAAAATTGTTGGACTAAAAATTTTGAATTATTAACAATTAAATTTGATTAAATCTTGCAAAGGAAATTTCAGCGCAAATGTATTTTTTTACTTACCGGGCATGCAAACGCATCTGAAGGTTCCAGGGTCATCCAGACAGGAGCCGTCGTTGTGGCAAGGATGAGATTCGCACTCGTTGACGTTGATTTCGCACCTGGGACCGGTGAATCCTTGGGTGCAATTGCAGGCGAAGCTGCCGGGCGTGTTGACGCAAATGCCGTCGTGTTCGCAAGGAGAACCTGCAAAAAAATCGAAAAGATAATTTAACAGGTGTCATACAGACTGTATAATTAATGAGTATTATGATGAGAGTGAATGTGTAATGAATAGTTTGGCTGTGGAGTTTTCGAATACATATTCTTTGAAAATATTTAGAAAATATATAAAAAAATAAACTTAAAACAATTGATAATCAAAAACTATTTTAAATATAAAATGCAACTGTAAACTTTAAGTTTAAAAATATTGATTTTTAAAAGTTGTACTTTTAATATTTTATTTTACAAAATCATCGGTTTAAATTTGTTAAGAGTCATTTAAATGTTGGTCGATCGAAAATTTGTATTAAAAATGTATCACTTAAATGAGTCTTGAGAAATTTAAACCGATAACTTTTATTTTTAACAATTTTAAATATTCACATTGTATTTAAATGTAAGTCAATAATTTTTAATTCATAAATTGTAAACGCTGCTTTAGCTGACTGAATATGCTGCATTCGCGCTTTGTACGTTTCACTCACTATGGACTAATATTAAAATTAACCACTCTAGAAAGAGACACCGTACGGCGTCTGGTAAAGCTACGTTTCTACTTTGTAATTTAAAAATCGACTTACATTTAAATGTAAAGTTATATATTTTGTGTTAAAAATTTATCACTCTAAAATTGTTAAAAATATTTTTTTTTGGTTTAAATTTGTAAAGAGTAATTTAAATGATAGTCTATACATTTTTAATCCCTAAATTATCACTTTAAAATTTAAAACTTACATTAAAATGTAATGTGAGAATTTTTGTATTAAAAATTTATCAACTATCATTTACATAACCCTCGACAAATTTAAACCGATAATTTTGTAGAATAAAATATTTAATCTACAATTTTTAAAACTTAAAGTAGCTGCCTTTTATATTTAAAATATTTTTTCACTATCAATTGTTTTGAGTTTGTGTAAATTTCTGTTAAACCACCATTAAAGTGGTAAACTTGAATCTTTAAACTATCATCTAATAAATGCTGGCGTGCCATAGTTCAGTGAATATTAAAACATCTAATCTATAGATTGTCAAAGGGCCGCGCTTAAGTGAATCTTCTATGTGTTGTTTTTTCATTGTTCAACTCTATTTAATATTAATGATATTTCACAATTTCTGGTGTTTTCTTAAAGAAAATTTCTTTATATTACATAAATTATTTTTTATAATTTTTAAGGTTTGTCGAGTTTTAAAATTTGATGTACAATTTATATAGTTTTCTTATGGCTTTTTGTTATTTTATATATAGTATTTTCTGGATTTTTATGATTATCCATTAATTATTACTAGCCTTTGAGTAGTCCACATAAAAAAGTTTTTCATCTACTTATATAAAAAATTATTTGTAGTTTAAAAATTGTATTATTAAATTGTGTTTTATATTTGGTTGTTTTATGTTTTTTAACTCAAATACTAATTTTGTAGTTGATGGCAAAATGTATTGTATAGCTAATAGAAAACAAACCGTTGTTAGATCGGAACCGAAATGACGACGATAAGATTTCTATGATTTAACGAGAAAATAACGTGTTAAGTGAATTTTCCTCAGCCAACCCGTCCCGCCTACGCTCAAATCCGCGATGATATGGTCGGTTATATATTTATTGAACGGTCAATGGTACCTCTCCTCTCCTTCCATTGTTTGAAAATGATCGGAGACTCGCCTTGGCTTACCGCGGGCGAGCAGCCAGGGTTCGATAGCCTTTTCAGATATATATTTACATATTCTATCGGCTAGATAAACAAGTAAGCAAGTGTTAATTAATGGACAAATGGTGCACTTTTCATTCACGAAAAAAAAAAACGAAACTTATCCGGTTTTTCTACGTGTTAATTTATTTATTTATTCTTGAAATTTTTAAGCTAGCTAGAGTTTTAAATGTTTTTGTACCAGTTTAAATAAAATGAATCGTAACCAAAACCTTTTTTATAATTACAATTAATTAATTATAATTAAATAATAGTACCTATATTGTGCATCGAGCGATAGGCGAGTGAAGGAGTTCATTAAGGGAGTAATTGCGATTCCACGCGAGGAAAACACTTTTTTGTCGAGTGGTCCTAATTATTAACTAATTTTTAAAAAATTAAAAAAGTAACGTTTAATTATAAACTGATGTTTACATTCCTAAAGTCGTTCCAATTAAGTTAGTACGCCAGTACGCTTACCTACTTCAAGTTATTTAAGCTAAACTCTATAAATGCTCACTTTCGCTTAAAAATATACAATTCGGGTACAGGGGAAGGAATAAGATTGTTCACAGCGGGAGAAATAATTTTCATTAATTATTAACAATTGCGAATACAATCTGCGCATTATTAACCACTCGACAAAAATAGTATATTGTCTACCGAGCGTGGAATTATAGCAATTACTCCCGATGATGAAAGTTTCCGAGCGAGCCGATAGGCGAGTGAAGGAATTCATCGATGAAGTAATTATTATAATACGTGGAATGAAAAGCGCAAAAAACTTATAATAATTATTATAAGTAATTAATTTAATCCACACTAACTAATTTTGTAGTTGATAAGTTTGTTTATTTTTCCTAGGTCTTGGTACGTTTCTGCTGTCATCATAAACAAAATTTGTTAATTTGTATACAAATAAAGGAGTATATGTTTACTCTTAGATAATAAACTCAGTTATTTAGATGGCTTTAAATTTATGCACTTGAATACATATTTTAATTTTCAGTGCTTTTATTTATTTAAATCATAAATATTCCTATAACGCATTTTGTAAATGAGAAGAATTCTTAGGTACTTAAGTGCCTATGTCTTAAAACCACTTGAATTTATGAAAGAGCTTTAATAATGTCAAAGAAAACAGAAACTCAAAAAAGCATAATCTATGTCAAAATATTATTAATTAAAAAATCTAAAAATTGCAGGGCAAGTAAATATAACCAAGGGATAGGGAAGTATAAAATTTACCATACTTTTTATTTAATTAAGCATATTAAAAATATTTATTCAACCCCTTAAAAAATCATTAAAAACATAAACAAGTAATTTACTTTAAATTTTTTTGTATTAAAATTAAGAATGTTAATATTATACCACTTAATTTATTATTCACCGCCGTACAATAATACAAATGCATTTAAATTCTATTTTTAGCTCGAAATCAGTATAGGTAATTACATGTCACTGAAGAATAAATTCATGAACTCTATAAAAATGATCTAGTCAAAAATGACCATTTAGGGGACATCCATTAATTACGTGAGGCATTTTTCTGATAATTTAGACCCCTCCCTCCCCCTTGGTGAGATGTGGTAGACCCCCCCTATCCCTCACGTGAGATTCTAGCCATTATCTTTTTATTGCGGACAACATGATAAACCCAAAAAAACTTGATTACTTTTTTGACAAATTTGAATTATAATACTTATATTCTTTGAACCCAAAAATTGACGTGAGATTTTAAACGACCCCCCTCCCTTAACATGAGATTTGGTGAGATTTTGCTAGACCCCTCCCCCTATTTTTATCTCACGTAATTAATACGTGTCCCCTTACTACATTTATTAGTGGCTGCTTCACTTATACCATGGTAAACCATGGGATAAGATGGTATCCCCAACATTTAACAGCTAATTCTTGGATACAATTGTCCCATGAATCCAAAAAATACTATCAAAATTTGTGAAAATAGGGCAGTTTTTGAGATATACGGCCATTCCAAGCCCATGGACAGGACACATCAGAAACATGTCTAAATATATTCTTGTTACTTCCTTAAAATTACTTATTTTTTCCACAAGTATTTATGAGAAGTATTAGCCAAATTTGGCTAATACTTCTCATAAATACTCGTAGAAAAAATAACTAAACTTAAGGAAGTAACAAGAATATATTTAGACATGTTTCTGATGTGTCCTGTCCATGGGCTTGGAATGGCCGTATAGTCGATTTCATATTATATGAAAAATTGAGTATATCTCAAAAACTGTTCTTCTTTTATAACTACTTTTTGACGACATTTTCGGATTCAGGGGGCGATTTTACATAAAAATTGACTGCTAAATGTTTGTATTTTTAGAGAGCACATAACCTATAACGTCTAACGTCAACATTATCTACCGCAAATTTCGGAAACTCAAAAATTCCAATGTAAGCACAGAATTATTAACGCTTGGAAAAAATAGTATACCTATACAACACGGCGGAGAAAGCATATTAGCTGCCTTGCTCAGATCTGCAGCAAACACTAAGCTCGGCTATAATATAAGCGCTTTCTCCGACTGTTAGATAATGTATAACAGTAACTAAAATTTAAAAATATTATTTTTTCTTTAGTGGCGGCACTGTTCATAGGAACACCCTACATAAAACTAGGAGTAACTAATTGTCGAATTTTTAAAAAGTAAATTGGAAACAGTTCTTGGAACGTTGGGATTGTATATTAGTGCTAATTACGTATCATGTTGCCTTGTGCTGCCGAAGAAGTTAACGTGTCACGATATAATCTATCGAGTTGGCGACGACAAGAAGGACGCGGTGCTGTTTTTTCGCAGCGGATGGCGCTTATTTAGGAAAAGTGTAGTGTATTCGACATTGCACTTTTGTACGTTGTAACCGAAAGGTTATAAAACATGTTTTATAAATGGTGAAGACGGCAGTATGTCACACTGTAGGTATGTTTAATGGATATTCGTACGATAACAGAGACAGTTACCAATTGAGCTGGACCCAGCTAATTTATTACACTTAGTGTGTTAGTTGATAAATAACAAACTTTTCGTTTGATATGTCTTTTAGGAATTGTATGTATGTTTAGAGATACGTTTGCCATTCCGTGCAGAAGACAATTTTTCTACCTACCTAGTTTGCATTTTCACTTGACTAATGACATGCATTAATAAAGCCCGACTGAGATTATTTACATATTGAAATTTCATAGTCAGTCGAGTACCTAACTGTTATATCGTTGTAATTTTTTTAATTGTAATATATTAATTTGAAATTATAATATT